AGTAACATTTCCGCCATAATATTGTTGTCGACTGTTCAGCAGGAAATGAGAGCTCAATCCTTTGTTTTTCATAATTGTTTTATTATGAATAAAATAATGATAATAATGATGTAAAACGTTACCGTCTTTGAGCCGGTTTCGTCGTGATTAAACGAACTAGGAACGTCGGCTGGCATTTTTGATTTATAACAATTTGTTGATGTTGCATTTATTGGCCCTTTATCGTTGTTTTCTGCTTTGCTTCTCTTCCTTGCAACCACATTTCAGTCTATTTCTATTTATCTAGCCTATATGTTCGCTCCTTATTTTTAAATCGCCAGCAAGTTAATTAGGTAATCGCACATCCTATTTGTAAATGTAGTTGTATTCACCCATTTATTTTGCCGTAGTTTTATCCTTATCAATTTTAATGGGTTCCTTTTATTTTTATGTTTACTGAAATTGCAAATCTGTCTGGGATCAGTTATATACAGGCTATTGCTGAGGTACTGACGTAAGAACGTAACAATGGAGCTAGAGTCCTACGACGGAACGAGCTCATTTGTAATCCAGTCAATGTTATTGTTGTTGTAACAGCTATGACGGTATTGTATGGATGCCGCCTATTTTAAATAGGCGCTTGCGTGATGAGTATCGTCATTGCAAATTTTCACTTGTCCGTTGAGTAAAAGAGACTGTGGCCCCTTTGCTAATACTCAATTGTAAGCTATTTTCAAAGTTAGACCTAATATACGTGAAAGACCACAATGCCTTGCAATAGAAGATTACCCGTTACTGGCAAGTTTAGGTAACCAGTGGAATGTTTCAGCATACAACGCGAGCTTCTCTGTACGGAGAATAAGCAGAGGCACATTACTAACATCAAACCAAATCAATTATGTTTTGTGGTCACATGACACTCGGATTCTGAATTGAAATAGCTCATAAAAATGGATCGAATAATCTATAGATTTAGTTGTCAATCAGCACGATTCATTTTTGGATAAAGGACTACTCTGAATGATCAAACGTTATATGGTCTTTCTACAGCATTAGAATGTGTTTAGAGTCCAGACAATCAAAATATGCCGTACTAACATGAACCCTCACGGACTATCATCGGCTCGGACTATATTTAGAAGGCAATTTTCACTCTAAATTCTACAATTTACGTGTTTAAGCAATCCATATGTGAGATGCACACAAAATAATTCACAGTTTAAAGCAATAGGATCCTCTTTGTGCCTAAGGAACTTAAAATTTATTATATAAATTTTAGAAGTGCCCTCATTGCATTACACAACGTTGTGCTAAGTTTTGTTAGTTAAAAAATACGATTAGATCACGATGGTCAGGATATGACAGGACACAAAAAGCATTTTAGAAGGCCCTAATTCGATATGACAACACAAAAGGAATGGGTGGACGATAGCATATAAATTTATAATCGGCTTTAATTATAATCAAATTGCTAGCAACCATTCATCACCTATAAGAACGTCATTAAATAAGCAGCACCACCACTAATTGTCTATTAATATAATATCGATCCATCTGCTCCGCTTAATTGTATTATACATAGAGTACACCTCCGTCACAGATTTGGCAATGTATGGAAAGATTATCTTACTTCTTCGCGTTATTTTAAACCGACATAATCCATTATATCGTATGCTTCAAAAGCATGGTTGTCATAATCTCCTGCCCCCGTTGCACCGCCGTCCCCGAAACTACCTACCCATGCATATACACACGTACACACACGCAAACAGAGACAAAAATCAAGTCATCTAATTGCGTCGTCAATGCGCATGCCTTTCTCGTTAATGTAGACTTTGGCTAGTACTTTCCGCGACGCTGTCTGGTTAGTCCCACGGACGACGACGATAGTCGTCGTAGATATGTCAAAGAAAACATCTATATACAGTCACAGCGATAGAAAGTGAAGCTAGCAGTAGCGGGTGGCCCCCGACCGTCTGCACGGCGATAATTTTTATTGAAAGGTATGACAAAAAAGACCTGAGTGAGCCGTAACCCATACGGCAGTAAGCCAAGCACACGCAAGCGAACACGAAACGCCATCACAAAGTTAATGGCGGGGCATATTTTATATTTCAAGTACGTGTATATATACCTACATGGACTTTGTAAACTTGAAAATTACATGTCTAGTGTTTACATGTCTAGAGCGAAAAGAAGCTATGTACAAGCGTACACTAAGTGTCTAAAGGGCTTGGCGTTAAAAATTTTGCATTTTATTTTCGTGTAAATTGAACGCACGGGATTATAACTTAACAATGTAATGCAACAGACTCAATTCTCAACAATCATCGATGTAACATAGCCGTTAAATCAGCAGTACAAACAAATTTACATCTTGTGTCTTACAAAAATGTGTCATTTAATGCAAGAAACAACCTAAACTTTATCTTTGCACTTCTTGCCGCCTATAAGCATTCCTACAAAATTACAGAGCACAAGAATGAATGACCGCGAAATTATTCCAACAGCGACAGTAGAAAATATCAATACCCTTTACTACGCATGTCACCTAACGAAATTTGCCAGCGGAGGATTTCTATAAACAATAATGCTACTGTTGAAATACGAGTGAAGTAATCTAGTTCATTTTTAGGTGATATTATTCGTACATACGCACAGGTGTATATTGCGTCGCGCATGTTTCTTTAAATGGCCCGTGCTTTTTTACAGTACAACTGTCAAAAACGGCAAAGGTAGGCATCTAGTTATGTGAAGATCAAAAACTGCCAACTAAACTAATCCCCTGTCCATACGGTGTAATGTGTGATTAACAATAGAATGTGGGAATAAATAAAAATATCGGCCAGTTTGTTTCACTCTTATTTTTCGAGAGATAAGTTCTGAGTTTGCTGCCCCCGATGCTATAGGAACAAATTGCTATCATAATATAGCAGTCAATTTGTGATAGTTAAACTGAAAAAGAAAACAGAAAACAATTTAAAGCTAACATTTCATCCTTTTTTAAGGTTTACTTAACAATATTGAATACTGTAAAGGGCTTGAAAAACTCGATAAGTTATCTCACCTATTATCCACAGTCCGACAAAGCTTTGTCGGACTTCGTAGTGTTCAATGCGCTCAAAAAAATCGATGTATGACTGTAACAGAATTGCAATTGGTCGGAAAGCTACAGGACGGCAATTATTTCTTTGATTGCAACTAAGTAACAACAACAATCGTTAAAGAAATGTGTTTTTCTTCTACTTTCATTTTTCATGTATCTCGTTTTATCCGTTTTTCCAAAATATTTACTTGCTGAGGTGATTATGAATTACTGTAAGACCGCAATTAGCGTGTGAAGAAGATCAGACAACTTAAGTGTCGTAGAGCATTGAGCGGTGGTTGTAACAGCGTGTCATTCTAGGGTTTCATATCATTCCCATGACACCGCCATCTCACAAACACATTTATTAGTATCATTATCATCACCGTTATTCTTAAGATTATTATTATGAAATAAATTTTTTATTCCGTAGTTATATTCTTCCTATCTCAACCTCTTTTCTAACTCAATGTACGTCCTCTTTGTCTGCAAACTTGCTTTGTTTTCATTAATAAAGATTGTTTCGTTACGGCTTAACAGTATTCAATTTGCTAATCACGCACATGAGGTCTGCTAAATAAGTATAGGTTAAAATTAGGTTATATAATTATTATAATTCATTGATTTTATTCTACGACATAGATTACCATCATACTAAATGTCTTAGTTGCGTACTTATTCTTTGTGTCCCGATCAACCTGTCAATATAATCAATCATTCAATCAATTGCCCATCCACCAATCAACCAGTTTATGACTCATGCGTTAGCCATTACGAAATTACAATAAAGATTTATACCTTCCCGCACCGAATTCCTATCTGAATTTTACCCATATCTATTCATTTACGATTCCTGATTATTTTTTCCTTAACAATAAATCCATCTCTGTCACTCGAAATCTTCACACAAGCATCACCATCAGCCATCATCAACCATTTAAATATTGTACTATAATAATAATAATAATAATTATTATTATTACTATTTTTCTGTTTTCTTCCTTTTATATTTAGTATTGGTACTAGTACAATCGTTATCGGCCACAGTAGTAAAGACGATATGCTTGCTCTTCCCAATTAATGAAGCGTCATCCATGGATGAACATCTTTATCACAAGTATTCGGGAGATGTTGTGTGTGTTCGATGATAGTGAAAGATAAACTTTTGCGCATTTTTTTTCCGCCTATTGCAGGTACCAGCGGTATTAGTGGTAGTTGATGTGGCGCGGCTAAGAAATGTGCACCGCTCATCTGTCAGTCAACAGCTTGCACTGACGATGAGTACGTGATTCGACCTGAATCTTGGCCTGACTGTCACCTATTGTGCACGACTATTCCTATTTGAGCAAACATGTCTGCATACCTGTATTGCCTGGAAGCGTGTGCATGTACCCATGTTGTTACGTTCCAGCAAATTTTACCAATACATTACATTATTACCAATAGCCTCTATCAGTATCGCCATTTTCTCGTTGTAACGGCCTTCATTCCTTGATAGATTTTATTAACTTCCACCTTGAAGATAATTTCTGCTGAGGGCAAATGTTGTGATTTAATTTAATCACTGACTCGTCACGCAAAGACGTGGCGTGCTGCAGCTTCACGAGTCGACCGAGCATCCATTATTAACGCTCTAATTAGGCAAGAACAAACTGGCTAGCTTGTATGCTCCACTAGACAGTTTGAACTATTGTAGACTAAAATCTTATTGGTGGCAGGGATTATTTCTTTTCATTGTTATCATCATGATTATCATCGCCATCGTCATCACCATCATCGCCATGGCATATTCCATTCGATCCGAGGGGATGAACGACGCAGTACCGAAGTAGGACGGAACGGCAAATTTCATTATGGATGGACCTCACGTAGCAAACATGTGTTTCATACCGATGCTACCTCGTGTTTCTCCCCGTGTTGAATCGATATTGAACACCTGCATTGCGTTGAGATATTTCTGACGATGTCCTTAAGCTGTGAAGACCTGACCAGATAATACGAAGAACTACGATTCGCTGTAGTAGCATTGATTTCTGATCTGTTTTGCGGTGACATTGACTGGCTAGCTTGATCAGCTCTATCCGTGTATCTCTTGGACCTAATACCAGAGACATCAAATGGTGTTCATAAGCCTGGCCTTTCAAATTTGAGGGCGAGCTATTATATCGCATACAATGAATACAAACCATGATTGTAACAGTAGTTGTCGTTATCGCTACTCACTATCAAAAGAAGTCCTTTGCAAACTACATAAAGCTCCGACTAGCTGTCCCATTGAGTTTTTGAGCTCCGATTTGACCGTCGGTCGTGCCTGTTGTTGTTTATAGTTGTTGGCGATGATGGTTACGTATAATAATAAGGTACATTCACATATATAGGCCTCGTTGCAAGTCGAATAATTATGACATCCATGTACAGTGAATATATATATTCATATGCATTGATGAAAGGTCTGACTACAAGACTATTCACTACGGCAACCGGGTGCAATAGCGCTGGCCTTGCATATGATGGTCGTTTAAAAAAAACGCAGAGATCGTGGTGTCTGATACAGTTATGAGAGGATAACTGTTGATCGGCGGGGAACAGCGTTCGTCGCGCTTGACACGTTATCGAGACTCGTCCACCGACGGCCGTTGGCGACACTCTCGTTGAGTACACGATCTTCAAGAAGGCGTGACATCGCTTCGAGTCGCTGTGCCCGTGACCGGCTAAGGGGTTCGGCAGGAAATGCCAATCCGTTCTGTTCGGCGAGCGACCTCAATTCGAAGTAGTACTTTGCATACACGCTCGACGGTACGTTGATATTGAAGTCGATGAGCTCCAGCAAACGCCGTTCGAGGTTGTTCATATCTTCAACGCGAGTCTCCTTCAGTATGAGGCAGTAATCGACGTTCCACACTGCTTGGTCATCCCAGACCTTGGACGCAAGCAGAATTGCGCCAAGTAACATTCTTCGCCAGCTTACTGGAACCATGTCCGTCTCGGCGTACGTCAGTAACCGTTCAAGGTAAACCAGCGTGACAATGGCACATTCTGCGCTCAGAAGTGCCGCATTAAATAGAGACCGCATGAAGCGGTAGATCGTTCGATGGTCCGGTTCAGCGCGCAACGTGCATGACTCTTCCTTAGTTAGGGGGTACCGACTCTCGTCGAAGATGTCAACCAGCCGATCTGATCTCCGATTGTGAATATGGTAAAATATGGCTAACGTTACGCACTTGAGCGTGTGTTTGAGGTTTGGCTGTGATAACGTTGAATCATCGAGGTAGATTGTGGAGCAGGAGTTCGCTTTCTTGAGCCGAGGACTCGCCGAAGCTGCGGAGATTGCTGCGTTTGGTGAAACGGCGTGCGATAAATAAACTTCACTTCGGTGGCGGGTTTGTCTTGTTGCCTGATTATTCATATCACTCTGTGAGCGTTGCATGAAGATGGCACCTTTTGTCGGGTCTGTTGATGGATCCGTGTCGTCATCACATAGTTCTCGTTCGGATATATGCTGTAAACTGACAGACGCAGAGGCGCTCTTACGAGCACTTGAGTCATCCTGCGCGCTAACACGTTTCGACTCGCCACCACCGTCGGCCGAATTTCGATAATCTTTTTTACCGGAACGTCGTCGGGTTCCCGGCGAATTCGGTGCCGAACAACATGATAATTGACCTCCCATGGTATGCGCGGCGGCCACAGCAGTTGCAGCAGCAGCACCAGCGCGCGATAAATATCAAAAAGTAATCTGAAGAGAACGTATATGTACAGACAATGAACGAGAATTGCAATATATGCATTCACTGAAACCTCGAAGCATCTAGCTGGTCAATTTCATTTGTTCTAGTTGTTGCTGTTGTTGTTAGTGCCACCTGTTGTCAACGTGCTGACGTGTCGAAACGCTAATGGTGCAGATGTTGAAATGGAAGAAGAGATCTCCTTTTGCCTCTTTGCTGCGTATGCAGTAACACCGTTACCTCTATCAGGCGATGATGGTGGTGGTACGAGTTGTCTTTGGTTATTGTTGATCACCACAGTGGCTGCAACGGTTTTACCGTTTTCGATTGATTCCTTGGGTAACACGATCATACATTTTTTTAAATAAAGGTGGCGCAAATTAGCCTATGTGCCCAAGTAACACTTGCAGTAGCACCCGCAGTAATCCCGCGCCGAACTGCGAACTCCTAATAAAACCCCATCTCCCTTCTCATCTGCGCGGCGCAGCCTAGTCCCCCCCTGGGTAATTGTCTAACAGTGTTTGCCGGCGGCAACAGCAGCACCACCAACAGAAATGGTGTGCACTTCGCGTGCTGCAGTTTAGAGTGGTATTTCGCGTTGCACTCAATATCAATAGGCAACCCACGCGCTGTGTTTGGCCCACCTTTTCTCCTGCTCTGGGCCAGCAGCAGAGCACCGCGATAGGACGTGGTCGCGATGCCCTTTCGTGCTGCGGCTGTCGCTATTACAGAATCAGCGACAGTTAACGATAATCAACAGCCCAATCGGAACCAACGAAAGGAGACTAACTGCACCGCATCTAGGAACCCGTTCGCTCGCTTGCTAATCATCGTCGTTATTTCGGTCCACACACACGATGTCGTTGGTGCTGCTGTACTACTGTTAGTACTACTTTCCATTGGCAGCATCACCCAACAAAAAGAAGGCCGACAAGCTTCGGAAACATTATAGCACCATATTGAGAAATACCCGGCAACTTTCTATAGCCACAGTCCTCCGTGGGAGGAGAGACAATTGTTTAACGATACAACTGCCATCACTGCAATCATGAACAGTTCCGAGGATGAATGGTCGGCTTCAAATTTGACCACTCATATTCATATGCAACTATCAGGGGGTGAACATGATGACGATACGGTGTTGTTGATTCACAGCGTAATCTGAAAGCGCACATAGAGTTCACTCGTTGCGTTCTATTGTCGACGATAGACTATTTCTAGTTGTTCTATCTTAACCCGCAGCGTACATACAGTTACATTTAGCAGTGTTGGTAAACGGTCTATAGGATGAATATGACTCTTGTTCTTATCCAATTCATTTCTTCACATAATCAGTGGAGTAAAAATACACCCAAGAACCGATTTACGCCGGTGTTCACAAACCTTCTTTAGCACATTTATTGTTAATCCGCGTAGATGTTAATCGCTTCATCGCGATAATACTGCAGACGATGAAAACCGAATTCGGTATAGTTACTATCGTACACACTGCACTCACGTCACATCTGCATTGAGCACATTGGCGGCGGCAGCGGCGGCACCAGCAGCAGCGGCTAGGACCAAACTGCTTTCGCACAGACAGACACTACAATCAATAAACATATATATTGCAACGCCTCACACTGCTTTCTACTACTACTACTACTACTACTACTACTACGGACACTAGATACAGAACCAAACACATATGCAGGAGTCGTCTTCCACAACCAAGCCAGAGACTGCAGCAGCGAATCGGCCGAATTCGTCAATCACAACACCAAATACCGGTCGACCGCATTAGCAGACGACGCCAAACATGAGACACAAACGTCCTACCCATTCACATACCCTAGACATGTGTGCATAGGACATTGTGCCGGCCGCATCCGTCGATCTAGTTACAGCAGCAGCTATGAAAGCGACGAGAATCACATTGACAAATCTCGCAGACGATATCCGATGTTTTGGCAAATATACTAAGGAAGTGAATGGATACAGGGTGTCGATATGTGCTAAACCAAACGAGTTGCTTGCGAGCAAAAGATAAATCAACCAGAAGAAGCTGCTTTATAGTGAATCGGGAAATTGGATCGAGAGGCCGTTTTCACATGCTCAAACCAATCATCTATTCGAACTACGTGCGCCGAGAACTTCATACACCATATCGGTCCTGTACTGTTGACAACGCATCGGTTCCGAATGTTAACGCCAACTCGCGCGACAACGCACGATATGAGATGATCTCTAGTGCGACCGTAGTATTATGGAGCTTAATAAAAAATAGTTAGAATAATTTTAATCTTCACAAGGATGCTTTTAGGTTATTGTCAGTTGATTACAGGCTTCACCGGGCCAGCCATTTCACAGACCTTGCGCTTCTTCATTAAATTCTACGAGTATATCACAATTCATAACTGTCTTGACGAACGTACTGCGATTGTTTGTCTAACTGATTGATAAACGTGTTTTTTTTTTGTTTAAAGCACTAGCCGGCATACGTTAGCCTTTTTTATAAATAAGTATGATTATTAAAAACAGGTATCACACCTTTATCGCCCAAATAGTAAGGAATACTTTAATAGTACCTTTTCCTTTTTTTCCTTTTTTTTTTTTTATATATTTATACCGTGGGCACAAGTTAAGAATACTTCGAAGTCTACGGACCTCATTTTGAATATCATTCATGAATGAATGTATTACTATAGCACCAAATACAAGTTCACTTCGCCGTATATACATATGTGAACTGTAGTAATGACGCACAAATACAGAGACAAATGCGATTATTCAAATAACACTTCGTCCTTCTAAAGCGATAGAAACGCATAGGGTGGTTAAGACAAGCCTTACATTCATCCGTGAGAGCCGTTAAGCTCTCAACTAGTAATCCTTACCGATATTTTAGGCACAGAAGGGTGATCGCTGTTGGCAGTCGCATAATTATACCCAATATTGTCGAGCCGTTTGCGTCGTTTTTCCCTTGGTCGAAGCAGCGAAGCAGAACTTTGTCCTTGGTTGCTGGGACTGCGCCTGCTGATGCTGACGCGCGCGCACCTCGATATCTTCTGTAACCGTCAAGTTCATAAATGCTAGTTTCTCTGCCATGTCCCTCTACACTTTATCACGAGTCTCTTAGTCATGAGTGTTGGCCGACCACGTCATATATATTTGTGTTGTTTCGGATGGTTCTTTGACATGTTTGTTGAACCACTTGTAAACGGTAGTTATGTGTTTAAGGGACGTGAGATGTGAGACACAAAAGCGGTTTCATTTGCAAGAGTTTGCGACCATACAACAAACTAACCCTACAACGATGTAGTACGGTACTGAGGGTGGTTTACACAAACCAAGACTTCGTATTTACTGCTAGAATTATTATTCTATTACTACATTATTTCATTTCTGGATGGCAATCAATATCGCATGCGCAGTTTCCAGAGCGTCTTTCACCTCTGCAGTGTGAAATACATCCGTTTTAAAAAAAAGTACTGGACAACTGTAGTTTCTAGTATTTGTAACCAGAAGCATAATTGATTATACGGTAATGTAAGTTGTACAGTCAAACTATCCGGTAAAACGACCTAGCCAGAATAGTGCAATTTCCCAACCTTCGAAATGTAATATCGCGACCGCGCGTGTGCGGGCTTGTCTAGCTTACATATCGTATCGAGGGTTCCGTTTTCAGTTTCAGAGTGAGTTGAAAAACTTTGGCGGCAACTATTTTCATTGTCGAAGGAATACCTCTTTCGTTATTGTCGTGTCTGCGCAGATAGCTGCCTAATGTTCTGTGTGCAACGTGAACAACGCGAAAAAATAAATGGTCGCGCTTGTTCACTCGCCTTTTATTTCCTGCGACTTTAGGAAGCGTTTAACTTAGCGCTTGCATTTTTTGTGACTGTAATTATTTCACTTGTGACATTTAGCTATAAGGCAAAAAAGGATCTACGAATAAATAAATCACCTGACGAGTAACTGATCGTAGCAGCAGTTAGCTATTATAACAGGTTTGTGACTGATGATCAGTATGTCCCATTCTCCCATATACTACTTGTACGTTTCAGTGCTCGCTGTACTTCCAATAGCCCGATTACAAAAAACACGCTTTTTTTACTAAAGTAGAAGACTTTTATCAATGCTGGGATTTTCTATTACATCACCATGTTTTCACACATAATCGTATAGTGTGTGTAAACTATTTGATTATAGTTGATGTTGTCGTGTCCGACCACGAACGAGGCATTAAAGATAATACTGCACTTGAGGAAACGATAATCGACATTATATTTGCTATTTAGAGTGTTTATATACTTTTCTTGCTAACACCATTTAACGCAATGAGTTGTACACATAAAATTCATACTAATGTAGTATTTTTAAGTCAATAACAACGGAACGGATGATAATTTTTGTTGAAATTACCACACCGTTTGCTTTTTGGCGTATTTGGCTTTTCATCGTACAACCAACGAGTGTTATTCAGTCAATAACAATGTGAAGTAAGAAAACCAATGGCGAGTGGCCGGCGGCAGCGGTTGCTGACCGTGTTTCCACTTAGCGACTTCACACTTTTTTGTTACACACATTTAGGCTGAAATACGAATCTAACGATAATAAATCCTTCGACTCTTAACGTCCTGTAATTATTGCATCCCGTGGAACTACTGCAGCTATCTGATTGTCCAGTTGTACCAACCGGGTGCTAACATTATATCCGTTGTCGTTGTGGGTTTGTTCATTTCACCAGTTATGAAAGTGGAGCATTTGTTCTATTTGGTTAGATTTACTAGTCTTTTATTCACTGATCGGCTTGATTGCATCCAATGTTCGGAGGTATTTTTATACAGCAATAAACGTTTCTGCAAAGGAATCTATGAGGGATAACATGTCTGAAGATCGAAAATGTATATACAGTGTGATATTACCATAAACTACGTAACGGTTACATATAACACTCCAGGTCATAATCGTCTAATGCATGTCCCTTGCCCCTTGAACACCACAAGACAGTATGTATGATTAATCTGTTCGCCCTCTTTCTCACCGCCGTTGCGTCTCTTAGGAAACCTTCGTTTATGTGAAAAGCAAGTGAGCGAGCAAACGAGGGACTGGGGTTACTTGAATTTGTGTTCAGGCTGTCGATGGCTGGCCCAAATGTTGTCCAGCAGCAGCGACAAAGCCTGACTACACCTTTTCAATTGTTTACGACGAATACATTGCCTTTTACCCTGAGAATAACCTGCGTGGTTAGTAGTAGGTATAGTATTACTGGGACAAGTCGTCATTTAATCATTAGCGTGTAACGTTTTCTAGTGCTTCTTTTCTTACAATAGCGGTACTCCAGTGCTTCAATGATGGGTTATCAAAAACCAGGTTTTGGCGGGTTTTACTATAGGTCTAAATATAAACACTAACACTTCCCGGAGACTTTCCTGCGTGTCTTACCCTACAACGTCAATTTTTGGTTGCAGGATATCATTAGTTCCGCCTTATCTTGAATATAATACGCGTATTTCGCCCAACCATTGCTAGGTGTATTAGTAGTTCCACGTCTTCAGCTAGATGACCGTGAGCGGCTTTTGTCATCGAAATTCGTATTGGCTAAAGACGACGAGCAGCTGATGAAATATAGTGACAAAGATCTCATGAATTTCATTTAAAAACTGTGTGTCGAGGGAGGGCACTTCTCAGGCTTGTGTAAGTGGGTGACATGGACGCTAAATTATGCAACGTGTTATAGTGTCTGCGTTTGTGCAATTGATGACGATACTGGATGGGTCTACAAGATTGATCTCGGCACATAAGCTCAACTAATATTAAACAATGTTCGTTACACAAGCCTCGATGGCCATACTTTGTGGAATTGCAACGAGCCCTTGGCGACGCGTCGTTCCAGGTGCCGTTCATAGCGTCGACTTTTCAGAAATCGACAAATACGGAGTTCACATTTACCAGATTACTCTCAAAAAAGAACAGGTTCGTTGAACAAAATCGTCAATTACGATATTATCATAGATAGTATACTGAAATATCGGAGAAAAGTATATTGGCACAGCATTTTGTTTGTCTTGACACAGCTTGCAGCGGTACCGAATTTGGTAAAAGATTATTTGATACAATTTTCTTAGGAGAAACACGAAGCTTGCACAAGGAAGGACGTGGCTAAATTTCTTAATTTGTCCAAATCAGAAAGTGTAATGGTGAAAGAGGTTGAGTTGTCAATGTCAGTCCGTGATAAAAGGGCATAATCACTTCTCGTCTACACATCCGCAGTGCGCCTCTATGCGTTCTTCTGATCGTTATCAGAGAGGTAAGCTATACAGATGTTAGCGATTGTTTTGAAATAATATTACTTTTGCCACTGGTTTTACGTGAATTAGCTTCACTTCAATAGTATTTATCGATGGTGATGGTGATGGTGATGTTGATGCAGTGAATCCCAAATTGACTCCACTTTGGATTCTTTTGTTTATAACAACCGTGTTTATCAAGCTAAAAGGCAACCATTTCAGCTACGTATACGAAAAGATAAGCTTTATTATACCTATTAAAAAAAAATTACTCTTCATTGAAAACAATTGAATCCAATCTAGTCTTATTGTAGTGGAATTCGTATTTGCGAACCTGGGATAGATCCCACTTTTAATGTAACAACAATGTCCTTAAATGTTCTGTAGCTGATTATTGTTAGACTGATAAATCGAAAACTTCGGATTTGAAAGCCAGTAATCCAATCCAGGATTCGCAATTAGGCTAGGCAAATCTCTATTTCACTCACAATTTTATTGAATGTAAAAATATGTACGTCCTTTACTATATACGTATCAGTTGTACGTGTATATAGTTTCCTGTATTAATTGTGCATTTATTTATTGGCACATAATTATGAAATTATTATACTATTAGGGTCAGTAGCTTCTCCATGATTCCTTAGACTCAGACACAGAATTGTGTTTCGCCGATTTCTTAACAACAAGCAATTTCTTAAAAGATGCGCGTTATCAAGTAAGACGCTGCGCGGTATCCGACTTAAAGGCTATTATTATTCAAAGTGAACGACGAATACGAGAAGGATTGGTATCGGCCAATAATTGCTCTGCCTTTCTATGCCAGTCTCGTAGATATGCGCAATGAAGAAAAACTAATTATCGGCGGCGAAATAATACAAATCGTAAGAGAGATACTGTTTCGACATGGATCGACAAGAAACAAAGTACTTTAAAGGTTATGTCATTACGTATTTTGTTCTATCTCGTAGACACGCCTAATGTAACGTCCGTGAACATGGTCCGCAGGTTTCCTATTCACCTGCGTCGCTTCAAATGTAGACGGCCTGATACTTCAACATTTTGCCTTTAATATTCACAAACTATCTGAAATAAGCTGCAAGATTTCAATGGTGAGCCCGTAAGCTTCCTTTGTAACATCTTCAAAACTTATCTGCATGGAGGCATACTTTGGAATTTTTTACTTCATAAACGGAATCGGAGTTTCATGAACTGAATTTAATAAAATACTATCTGTATTAGTTTGTAGGACAGTTTTTGGGATATTGGACGTTTCCGGGAATGTGACTCGACAGTTTCTGTGCTATCTTCTGTAGGCTATGCTAGAAGAACTGTACGAACCTGGTCAAAGCAGGCGGTCGAACTTGCCACATAGTTCCTATGCCAGTAGACATGATTTCACATTATGGGGGGTAGGCATAGTCTGATCAGATGGAAAGGTCGTTATATCCATTTCTATGCTGAGATGTTGGCCTAGTAGTTCGACATTGACTTTATGTAGTAAGGTGAACCCTTTAATGTAAGCAGGAGTAAAATGAATCCTCTAATGTAAGTAGGCCAATTACGTTCAAATCTCATCTCAATCGGCCACAACGCGTAGATTACCCCAAAGGAGTCCATATCCAATCAAATTTAATTACTATATCAAAAGGTATCAAAAGTTTTATCAAAAGCTTGGCTGAGGCTCTAATGGTGGCAATGCTCTGAATAGAATAACATCGTGCGTAGATCTGAAAGTGTTTTTTCAGATTACTGATATATGCAAAATAAAGATTTTCATGCGTTTAAGGCAAGCGTACACTTCCCTGGTCTACTATGCACATTGCATATTGCAAATGTTGAGGTGTCATTTCATTTGGGGCTTCGCTGCACAAAAATGGACGCGTTACAGGTTGGAGAACACACATTCTGATAGAAAAGGCTCCCGAAACTGCCAACAAAGAGAGTGTTTTTGCACGTGAAGGGACTTGAGTGTAAAGCTTGAAAGACATTACTAATATACCTACGGAAAAGTAGAGCAGTATTCTACTGTGTATTGCCCTATTTTGATGTAAAGTCGACTTTTGTTGCGATGGGTTATGTTGTTCTAAAGATTTAGAAAAACAAATACCATGCCGATTTCACTCTAGTTTCCAATAGCATTAACACATTTCATGAGGTTTAACCAAAACTTCAGTTTTGAAGTTCTGGTTAAACCTCTTTTGCTCACAATACACATGAGGTTCTTTAAAGGTCTGGAAGGTCAAATTAAACATTTGGGACATCTCGCACGAATCTTCTGTGGCCTTCTTAGATTACCACCGAATTCATTCGCCATATTTCGTATATAATAAATTAGAAGCAACTTAAGACTGAATAGAATTAATTATGAACGAGGGCGTAGCGCGTGTGTGTGCGCGTATGTGCGAGTGCGGATGCGCGTTTGTGAAGTGCGGATGCGCGTGTGTGCGAGTGCGGATGCGCGTTTGCGCGAGTGCGGATGCGCGGTTGCGCGAGTGCGGATGCGCGTTTGTGCGAGTGTGGATGCGCGTTTGTGCGAGTGTGGATGCGCGTTTGTGCGAGTGTGGATGCGCGTTTGTGCGAGTGTGGATGCGCGTTTGTGCGAGTGTGCGTATATGAGTGCGCGAGTGTGCGTATATGAGTGCGCGAGTGTGCGTATATGAGTGCGCGAGTGTGCGTATATGAGTGCACGAGCGTGCGTATATGAGTGCGCGAGTGTGCGTTTATCAGTGCGCGAGTCCGCGAGTAGGCGTGTATGAGTGCGCGAGTCCGGGAGTGGTCATGTATCAGTGCGCGAGTGTGCGTGTTTGCGTGTATGAATGAGTGTGCGTGTTTGCGTGTATGAATGAGTGTGCGTGTTTGCGTGTATGAATGAGTGTGCGTGTTTGCGTGTATGAATGAGTGTGCGTGTTTGCGTGTATGAATGAGTGTGCGTGTTTGCGTGTATGAATGAGTGTGCGTGTTTGCGTGTATGAATGAGTGTGCGTGTTTGCGTGTATGAATGAGTGTGCGTGTTTGCGTGTATGAATGAGTGTGCGTGTTTGCGTGTATGAATGAGTGTGCGTGTTTGCGTGTATGAATGAGTGTGCGTGTTTGCGTGTATGAATGAGTGTGCGTGTTTGCGTGTATGAATGAGTGTGCGTGTTTGCGTGTATGAATGAGTGTGCGTGTTTGCGTGTATGAATGAGTGTGCGAGTGTGAATGAGTGTGCGAGTGTGAATGAGTGTGAATAAGTGCGTCTGAGTGTGCGAGTGTGAATAAGTGCGTCTGAGTGTCCGAGTGTGAATAAGTGCGTCTGAGTGTCCGAGTGTGAATAAGTGCGTCTGAGTGTCCGAGTGTGAATAAATGCGTCTGAGTGTCCGAGTGTGAATAAGTGCGTCTGAGTGTCCGAGCGGGTTGTGCGTGCGTGTGTGTGTGCGTGCATGCGTGTGTCTGCGCGCGAGCGTGTGTGTGTGTGTCTGTGCGCGAGCGTGTGTGTGTGTGTGTCTGTCGCGAGCGTGTGTGTGTGTGTCTGTGCGCGAGTGTGTGTGTGTGTCTGTGCGCGAGCTGTGTGTCTGTGCGCGAGCTGTGTGTCTGTGCGCGAGCGTGTGTGTGTGTGTCTGTGCGCGAGCGTGTGTGTGTGTGTCTGTGCGCGAGCGTGTGTGTGTGTGTGTGTGTGCGCGAGCGTGTGTGTGTGTGTGTCTGTGCGCGAGCGTGTGTGTGTGTGTGTGTGTGCGCGAGCGTGTGTGTACGTCTATGAATGTGCGAGTGAGTGTGCGTGTATGAATGTGCGAGTGTACGCGAGTGAGTGTGCGAGTGTGCGCGTGTGCGTGTGAGCGTGTGAGTATGAGTGCGTCTATGTGCGCGTGTACGTGGGTGCGTACACGCACTCACAGACGCACACGCACTGATTAAACTATGTTTCAACAGCAGTCAACCGACATTCGAATAAGCTGTCACGTCGCCACATTGAAGTACGTACGAAGGTATTAGCTAGGGTTTTATGGAGAAGAAGAACTCTACAGAAGACCCGCGTTGACTAGCGAGTTCGCAGGTTTTTTCACCTATTATCGCTTTATTAGCAATGGATACGGCCACCTTACCGATTTGTCATTTCATAAATCGAACTTCGAAAGGCGACCCATAGTACCACATACATAGACAACTATACTTTCGTCGCTGCCTAGCGGTCTGTCGGGCATCTCCTGCGACATTTCCACTAACGTTAGCACTACTGGCTTTTGATTCGCATCCAGATTAATCATCCTCCCGGCGCTTTGGTTTACGTCCACTAATTTTATTGCCGTTTGGGGTTGTTACGTGCTGGCAGCCAGTGACCTTTCGGTTCTTGTCGGGGAACATACCTGTTGGTCTGTTTCGTTGGGTACTGAGCTGATAGTGCATCGGTTCGGTTTGAACCAGCTTCACTTGCTGAGGAATCTTGCACTTCACTCCTCTCACATGCTTTGCTCCTCTCAGGTAAATTGTCATTATTATCGTCAAGAGATGGTGAATGCACAGGCTCACTTCCTTCGTGACGACTTCGTCGTTGACGCTCGACGTTCTGACGGTGCGTGCCGTAGTAAACGACAGGCCTAATGATTGGGTCTTCATGCAGTACGTCTGCGCCGCTGTCTGCGTCGTATATTCGCAGTAGCCGATCCATTATAGGTCGCTTGCGCCTCAAACAAGATATAGGGACAATGCCAAGGACTCGAGAAATGCCCCACTCGTTTAGTGAGCTTTATCAGCGTTTGATAATAACGGTAGAACACCATGACGACATATATGTTAGGATTTAAAGTACACAAACTGCAACAGAGTGTTGCCAAATCGGTTCTATAAGATTTTTTTCGTTTCTATTATTTTCTTATTTTATTTTCCTCTATTTTCATACGTGCATTTTTAGGAAGCGATGTCTCCTTTTGGCTCGTTATACAGAATTCTAGCAAGCTTTTTAATTATGTTAAGCATGGGCTGGCAAAACATCTACACCTTAAACTGATTAATTCTAGGTATTTAAACATTTTCATTATATTTTTACGTGGGTCATTGGATTCTCAAAAGAAATAACGATAAAAACATTGTACTCACTGGTGTAATGTTTCATTCGTAAAATCCTTTGTGGGAAGTCCATTAACCGTTAGTAGGATATCGCCGGAATATACTCCCGCCTTTGAAGCCCAGGGTGCACCTGTTTCCAGTAGGAGGTGCACCGGGACAAAGCATTCGTGCTTGCTGTCAAAATACGACCGCTCCAAGGTGACCAGCGGGCTACATGGCCCACCGCCAGCACTTCACCCCCCAAAAAACGTTAGTGGTTGTCGTTTTAGTTATACCAAAACGAGTGACAGGAGCCCTTTACCACAACTAAATAACGACTTGGCAAAAAGCTTTACGAGGAAATCAATTGCTCCATTGAATTGAATTGAGTAAATCCAAATAAAAATCTTAAGTAATGTTGGTATTAAGTGTTTCACGGCTATTATTATCGGTTATTTAACAACATATTCTATTTTAACCATTCAAGCTTGCAAGGAAAGCCAGGCATATCCCTAATAAGGTACGTGTGCGTTTAATCTAAAAAAAGGCCCAAAGTCACCTACAAATTTTTTCTAGACGGAATGTTAACACTGATTTTCTTGAAATAGTTGAGTATCATCCGGAAGTTAATCCAGCTCTGGAATAACCTGAAGGCACCTGAGGCAAGTACGGTAAAAATGGTTTCATCAGGTACAGGCCTTTGCTGAATATTTGCCAGCATTGTCGCTACGGCCGAAGGCGTCTGGTCGATAATGGTCATACCGTTTACAGCAAGCACGATATCGCCCTCCAATAAGCCAAATTTCTGTTAAAGGATAGTTTTGGATGCACGCGCCATGAAGCGTAGAGCAACAGATTGTTAGAGAAGTTGAGATTTCAGTAGAGAAACTTCTGCTCAAATCCTTTTATTAGGTTAACTGGAAAATGCATGTTTAACGATATTTCAGCAAAAGCTTAAGTCAATCTAAATGTTACTTTCTGGTTTTCCTTTTGAGATTTATAATTCCTAGTTAAGTAAAAAGAATTTGTGATATTAGCCCTTATTAAACCTGGCGTGGTAAAAATTAAATCTAATGTTTATATGATCCACATGTGGCATGCGATAACACTCATGCTGTATATAGCCAACTTATTTTTTCGAAATTAAACCGGACTCCTTGAATGTCAAAAGTCCCGGCTTAAATAGGACCGCCATGCAAGCGAATGAGAACGCCGTTTTTCCAAGAAATGTATTTATTTAGTGAAGATATCTATAATATTTTTTCTTTTTTTATAAAAGACTCACTGCGGTACAGTATTATGAGGGTTATATCTTTTATGGTGGTACATCAACCTTTTTTTTTACCTTCTACTACATGTAAAACAAACGTAAAAAACTTTCTACATTTGTATATACATATTATAACTACTAATTATAAATGACAAGACCACAACTGCATAACCGTATATTTAGGGAAATACAGCAACAAAAATGTTAGTTTATTTTTAGAGTTGTGCGTCAATGAAATAGAATTTGATAATAATGCGCCTGTCCTGACTTTTTTACGTTAGCCTAGATGTAACGATAAAGACCGTTGATAAGATGAAGTTCCTCATAAACTATAGGTTTTAAAATAAAATCAAAGAGTGCCTCATACGTACAGTTGCGGAATCATCAATTCGGGTGACTACGTAAAAAGCCTGGCCGGATTCACTTGCTGTAGCCTTCAGGCGGAATCCTAGAGGACCGATCTGCGTACGAAGTAGCACAATATCGAGACGTTCCGCTTCCAGCTGCTCGAGAAAGCTTGTCCTGTTGAACTCTAATACCTGGTTAGGAGCGTTGCATGTAATTTTTCGAATTAGTTTTCCATAACGTATGAGTTCGGGAGCTGCCTTCTTGCTGCAGATTTCTCGCATCCGGTTTGACATAAAAGTGTGCAGGGGTGTCGCTCGGCCCACCAAATCTATTAATAAACGCATAAGTAACGATATTTTGTACGTAATATGTAATACCGTGTACTATTCATCGGGCTGATTGCTGACTATATATACTATACGTATGTGCAAGCCTCTTTGTAACACGGTAGTATTTGTACAATTTGACTAGCGCTACTTCTCACTAGCGAATGACTATTTTTGGTTCAACCATTAACAGTATGCTTAGAAATATAGATTCGTTCACGCTACCTTTTAGTTCAGAGATTTTTATTAGATGTTTTTTTTTTGCGGGTTCGTTATTCTTGTTCTGAGGGGCAGCCTTTCCAGAATGGATTTTGTCTTTGTTTACATTAACTTTTCCTCCTCTATCCTTTTTTTTTCTTCCTTTTTGAATACATTTTGGACGCCCGCCTCTAACTATGGTCGAACGTGAACGCATGATACCTGGAACGGTAGTTTTATTTTGAACAGTCGCGTCAGTTGCCTGGACTTTTTTCGTAGCTAAAGCTTCTCGAATCTTATCTCCTTTAGGCATAGTAGCTTCTTTTTCAGAGTATACATAAGCTGTTTGCTTCTTAGGGGGTTCGCTCATTGTGTGTTTAAGATGCCTCTGAAATAACCGTTCCACGGCCTCTTCTAGAAGGTATGGACCCCCACCTCGAACGTAATCGGGCGGCTCTGTCACTGTTTCCATTACAGACAAGTCCGCAAATGTTTCTTTCAATTCTTCTTTAGGCGTGTAAAATGCTTCTTCTAGGTTTACACACGATAGGAAGGGGTGATGAAGTAATTCCTGCAAGCATATAAAGCGTTTTTGAACGTGAATGGACATACTTCCATTCAACTGAAAAATCAAACTGACACAAAATTAAGTGCAGTAGATTGCGCTAACTGCAGAGAACACCGTCATTTTCTTTAGTGAACCAGTATTATGCAATTGTCCTGTTTTCATCAGTATTGAGCAGATCAAATTAGTAGAAGGACGAGGTGATTGTAAGATATCTGGCGCTGAAGTTTAGGCTCTGTCATGGACCTACTATCTAACAAAAATTATAGGAATTGCTCTCGTTTTGCATCGGTCAGGCAAAGATTAGATGATCATTTACAGTGTTAAGCATCCAACAAGGATGCATTTATTACATGCATCTCATAACATTGTTAAAACTAGCGTTGAAAATGCAATAACAAATTATGAGCACACCGAACTATACAGCATCACATCCCACCTCGTATCCCTGTAATCCCGATCCAAGTCGTTCTGTTGGCTTCTTTTTGAGCAATTGCCGTACAATGTCAATAGCAGGACGGACGCGCCCAGCGCGTGCCGGCTTAAACTCAGGAAACACAACGTCATTGATACAAATCGCCTGTCGAAGCTTGACCGTATTGTTCGCATGGAACGGAACTCGACCGATTAATAGCTTATAAAGTGTAATCCCCATTGACCACCAATCCATAGCTCGGCCATAGGCTTTCCAACGAATGACCTCAGGGGCCATATACGGCAACGTGCCTGCTTTCTCTTTGTCATTCATCTCGGCGGCCGTTCGTTTAAAGAACAACGGTATCTTACGTGCTGGGTAATGCGCCAAACAGATCTAAATCACTCAAAGACGTATAGACAACATATATGTCAAGCACATCTTGGGCTTTTTTTTACCTTATAGATAGAAATAGAGCACCTTCTGATAACCTGCAATTCCCTTCCTCTGCTCATTACTAGACGTGACGACTACTTGCCCAGTATTTTCAATTTGTCTCGAAAACGGTGACATTCAGGACGAACTCCACATTTTTTACTGGTAGTGTTATCACTCAGCTGTTACCATTTTCAAGGGACTAGCACTGATTTCACAACTCTCCAAGGAGTAATCGCCTCCGACTCGATAGATCTCCTAAATTTGAGCCAAAAAAGCTTTCATGCATACGTTTTTCGCTGGAAAAACTTCCCGGAAATTAATCCCTTCATACTATGCTTCTAAGCCGATCGTCAATGTAATATATTAAAGGAAGTAGAGTTGGTCACTTCATATTCTGGGTCTCGCTGCTCACATCTCCTGGCGTAATTGGCACTCGTGAGCCTATTAGTAAATTATTGGTTCAATACAATACTACCTCAAGCTCAGAAGGTCAGATATAATTTGATGCAATTATATTCTAGAGTGCACTGAGCATAAGTGGCTGCACAATTTCCAGAATCTGCTTTTAGTTATTGCACGCACTAACGATATGTCCAAGCTACGCCGAGCATTTACAAATCCTGTAAAACTACACATGACTTGCTAATGCTACAACGCCATGAGCAAAATACTGAGGACAAGTGGTACCTTGTTGGTATCGAAGTCAATTAGCTTTATGCGTCCGTCCGGCGACACGAGGGTATTACTTCCCTTAATATCACGATGCATAATGCCATTGTAATGCATATGAATTAAACCGGCTACCATTTGTGCAAATACTAGACGACACTCTTCCACATGCAAGTTTCGCGTAGATTCGACCACTACCTCCATTTGAAAGACACATTAGACACACAAATAGAATAAGGGATTTTGATATACTATATATATTTATGCAGTATCATCTGCCCAGCTAACATCAACTTTAGCAGCCTAGGAAACCCTTGTGTTACGGAAGAATCATTCAGTTAAAACATAATAACCTCTTAAATGGCCAGTAAAATATACCCTGCTAAACGTGTCTCCCAAATAGCACCCACTGTTAGCGATAAGTCTGTCTTTTTTCATTGAACCATCCGTGCCCGTTCTATTAGTCGGTCGTAATGATGTACGACGGGATGTTGTGAAATAGGGATAATCGTTTATGTTATCTTCGGTCAGTGCGTAAGGTAGCCAGTGTTACTTTTTGTGCATAGCTCATTGACAACTATTAACCGTAAACAACTAATTTTTTTCCTCTGCAATTTACACACTGTCTTTCAGCTGGGTCGAACTGGGGTGGTCGTCCACAGCAAAGTTCATTCCCAGCCATTTGAGACATCTCAAACCAGCTTTTAACACTGCTAAACATTGGTGTGCAAGAGCTTCCTTTTATACAGAAGTTATCCTTGCACACCGCACAGATGTCTTTACCGTTTGAGACGGGTGCCAAAAAATGAAAGGGCGGCGTTTGAATTTCACTTGCAGCATTAAGTGCACAGGAGGGGACTGAGGAGGGAGTCAAGCATTTGAAAAATGAGCCTGCACTTTTATTGGATTAGTCTGCAATACTTCCCTAGCTCAGGAATTTTTTATGTATAACTGTTATTATTATATTATTGTTATTATAGTATTATAGAATAATTATTACTATTATTATTTAACAATATATATAATAACTACAGTTATATATTATAATATAATATTATAATCTTCCAACGCCTTAAAAAGCAGAGAATCACTGCACGCAGCTGTCACTTTGCCAAGCTGTAGTTCGAATCACGACAATAACAATAACGGATACTAACCTCTTTGCAGATCTGATCCTTTGAAGAACTCCGTGATACAAACGGACGCATTTTCCACGCTGAATATTGCGTATATCGTAATCAGACACGGATGATCGATTATTGATGCGACAAGTCGGTCTGCGATGACGTGTTCAGTGGCCTTGAAACACTCTACAGGCACAATTTTCACCGTACATTTCATATTTGCTGCAATACACAATAACAATGCTCGACTAGGAACGTTATTCCAGTAATCTTGCCGCACTTAATGCCGCAAAATTAGCTATATTGATCTCAGTTGGTACACCTTACCTGGCACATATCGAGCTCTGTATACTACGCCAAACGACCCGGCCCCGAGAAACCCCTCCGTCTGAAAATGAGATCCGGGCAAATTTTCAAAAAGCGATCCGTCGTAATCAGTATGGGAATTTCTTGCTTTGCCATGGTTTTAGCATTTTTAAAATTCACGGAGAAATTGCCGGTTTCACTAAGCCTGTGCATTTAAACGCTCGCGCATTGTTTTTCCATTGTGCCTGAGAAACTGTTGCTATCATAAGGGCCACGCCAGCTTTAAAACCCTTAGGTGATAGGTTGTTGCATTGCAACAGGTGGTTGCAAATTGCAACCTTTAATTAATTATAAGCTCTTCATAAGTATTTAGCAGCCTATTGAACTATTGTACCTCTAATTGGTCCACGGTGGGTATTGAAACTATGGGTATATTGTCCGTCTTATTGATACTTCGACCCAAGGCTTCATCTCCTATACGGATATAGTCACACGGTTCCACGCAAGCCAGCTTCGAGAGTTGAGCTCCAATTTCAGCGAAGTACAACTGTTTACGCAAATCACCGTCGAGTATGTGAAGTCAAAAACACCTTCATTGAGTCGAAAACGGGACAATCAAATACAGAAAATAAATCCTACCCGACAAAAACTGACAAAAATTACCGTATAAGTATCATGATAAAACTCATGAGACTCAACCACTAATTCGTGCAAGATGATTTAGTAGCAGTTGAAAAAGTTTCATCACCATAGCACATAGTAGTCTATCCTATTTATTCAGCTCTCTTTCAATAATCATGTTAGGTACTGAAGCGCATGACTTGTTACTTTATCGGTACTATTGTCCAGAATGGCTGTCAACGTCACGGTCGCAATAACAACTTTTCTCAGTAAATGTTTATTTATCTGAATTATTACATCCGAAAAATAATTACACTGATCAGTATTAGCATGACACATCTACCTCTTATTAATTAAGACAGTATTTTTGTCTTTTCCGTACTTTTCTGACAGATTAGAAATAGTTACTGACAGACATCCGTTGAATATGTGATCCGAAGAGTTCAGCCACTTGGTAGTTCATCTTGTCATACAAACAGATGTCCTGAAGTTCGAACATTGATATGAACATGTCCTGCAGGTCAAAATGCATTAACTGTTTTCGAGCCAATTTTTCGTGTATGTCCTGTACCCAGAAGATAAGCTGTTGTATACAGACGTGCATGAGAGGCTCTCGGTTGACATCCAGAGCCACATATTTCGCGTACCAACTTTCGATCAGAGTAGCGCACACGTTGACGATTCTTGGAAAGACGGCGGTAACGCGACCGCAGGCGCAAGCTATTCGCGAAATCGCAGCCTTTGAAATGTTAGGCGACGTTTTCCTCTGAATCAAATCGGCAATTTCTTCGCTGCAAATCTCAAATGAGACCACATACGCAGAAAAATAATTGCAAATATAAAAACGACCTGATGCTAAATAAATCGACATCCACAATGGAATTTTTTCTTGTTACTGATTTTAACCACCGTGATCGTGAAACACCGTGAAACAATAGTGGAGGTGTTTGGGGCCACAGGCAGACCCAGCTCGTTTAATAGCTAGAGTCTAGCCGCTGGGAGCTATATTTAACGGCAGTGCCGAATGCAAACTGGAAACATTTACTTAGCTACTAATATGCCTTCTGGTTCTACGTACCGTTAGCGTAGTGGTTTTTGCCAAAACGTCGATGAACCTTACGCAATATCATAGATGACCACATTCATATTATCTTAGATTAATAAAACAGAATTGTCGCTTGTACTGCAGTGCTCACAAGTTCAATCTAAATACTAAGGGCGACAGCGTGTTTTCCACTGCGCAAATCCTGCATCTTCAAAGTCACTCCTCACTATTGTCGTCACTACATTCAGTGCCACTCTAACTCACGCCTACGCTATAGTAAAATCGGCTGTTTTTTCCCCAATAGGCTACAGCGTATAAAGGCGAAGATAATTGTCTTTGGTTTTTTTGTGAAATCTAACTCACTCTATGTCGGAGTCACCATCCGGAATCCAAGAGTCTGAAGCCATACCTGAGGTTTTCACTGTCACTAGATCGAATTCATTTTTGGAATTAGGGCAATAACTCATATAGAAACAAATCCGGACGCCGAACAATGGCTACAACACGCCGCCCATCGTTGTTTCTAGCATCCAACTAATGTTTACTATTCAACAGTTAGGTGATTCAATCCTATCACGAAACTCACAGCATTGTTTTTGCCGGTCGGCGATCATAACAGCCTGTACAAAGAAAGGTCCGAACGAGACGTTGAGTACTTCAAATGATAATAAAGTCGGAAGTGGAGCAGTTAATGTCCCCAGTGAAGCAGTAGAATGCATTAACATATGTTCCCTAAGAAATCATGTTGACGTATAACAATACAATCGTATGATGAGTCGTCGCTTAGGTATACAAATGTGTAGACTTTCATGTGTAATATTACTGATGCGTATTACTGCTTCAAATAGCAACTGGCGTCCCCTTTTAATAATACGAAACGAACCGTATGCCTGGGTACGGCCGATTTCATACCTAGACAAGTTTATCTTATTCTTGCTTGGTTCGATGTTTCCCAAATTTAGATGGAAGGTTCGGGAAAATGTTCATTAGATGTGGCCAGAATCTCTATGAACAAAGCACTTCGTCAAAAAATCATTTTTTCAAATATCTGAGTGAAGGTTACTATATAGCTACATATAAATCGAATCGACACTTAAGTCTTCAATGGTAATGAGTAACTAAGCTGTCTTATAAGGATGAATATACTTCTTTAACGTGTGCTACTAAGTTTTTGTGCAGTCGCGTGCAGTCTTACGGAAAACTGTATCATCAGACAGTCGGAAATGCAAAAAACGTTTATGTGAGCCTCAAACTTAAGATATGCATTTGATAGTAAGCGAAGTTGTTTAAACGCAGCTTCATAACAAATCATAATTTAGCCGAATCAACAATAACTTCACCTTATCAAAATTATATCTGAAATGTCGGCGAGACAAGTTACTGACTGAATAATGATTCGTCAGATATTTTTTTTTAAATTATTCGTAGCATTTTTTTAATCATTTTTTTTTATCAACAAATCCTCCAGAGTTACCTCTTTTAGCATCAAGGACTTTTCCTCACTAGGAGTGTAATTGGGATGTCTTGCTAAACTTATCTAGGTTTTTTTTAACATACCTATAAAACGGCATGGCAATCATAAAAGCAGCTATTAATGTCGATAACTATATAGTGATATTTTATCTTTCTTGAAAATATTTATATTTCCTTATTATTCATTTTTGCTAAAGCCGAAATTTGAATCAGCATGATAGCATATTTCTTACATACGGTTGCCATGGCAACGCATGTATAGTCTTTCGGTTTGCGAGCTAAAACACATTTAGGCAAATTTCGCTATAAACTCGGTTAGATTAGAAATACATAGTCTTTTATCTTAAAGGGAGTCTACTACATTGGCATGGACACAGTATAATTAACATTATCTTACTGGCCATAGATTATCGAGAGAAAAAACGCAAATAGGAGAGTCCAAGGCCTACAGTATAGGTGTAACAATCATACGAGCATGTAACTGTTAGCCGTTTTTTAAACTTTTCGTGTGATTTACTCGGACAGAAAAATCACGTAATTTAAAACTTTACAATTGACGTAATTGTAGCTAGTTGTATCTGAGTAAGGGTATAGAGCCTATACTACCATATTCGAAAACGCGTTAAGAGAGGGTTACATTTTAAAGAATACTAGCTGCCTCCGTGGATATTGTTCTCATACACTTTAAATTGAATAAATAAGCAAAAGCCTTGTACATTAACGAACTCATAATAACAAATTAATTTAATACTTACTTGCCCACGTTCGTTAAACCTTTGTTTCATCTCTCATCCCGTCCAGCCTAAATTTTCCACGTCTAATGTCAAAGCAGTCAAAACATCCTACTTTTTCCGGCTTATGTTGATCTAGAAAATATCTTCAAGTTATTGGTACTTCAATCAAATCCAATGAGGCCCATCTATCCCGGCCGCTTCTGTAGCTTTTGACCTTGACAAAGATAAAAAATGTGTAGCAACTTCACTTTTCTTTTTGGCATATTCCTTCAGTCTTCACTGAAGCCGAAATTCTGTTCGTTGCATGCCAAAATTACAATAGACTTACAGAGCAGAGCCCTATTAAGTAGTTATAGAAGCATGAAATGGAAAGAAAAAACGCGCTATGACATTAAGCATCATAAGACACCTGCGGGACAACTCAGAACATTGTTGTCAGTTTTTTTATTTACCTAGAAAATAAAATTGTCTGACTTATATTACTTAAACAGGAAACAAAAACATTTGTTCCAGTTCTTTACTTGATTTTTTTCTTATACAATTTACGCTCGCTTTATTTACACAAGGGATGGGTCAATCATGATACATCAAAACATACATGTTCCATACCTGTTTCAAAACCTCTTCATACATAATTGTTATTATCATAATGTACGCTTCGGCCCCTTACGTTCCGCCCTCCAGAATGTGCCCTAGCGACGTTAGCATCCTAACCCCCTAGTGAAGTTATCCTGCATCACCGTTGTGGTAGCAGCACTGCATCTCGCAATCATCGACATTTTTTCTATTTGCCCTTTGTTTCTGTAATAATTACTACATACCGTAGGTGATGATTATTATTATTGTCGGTATGAATATAGGTTTATCTGATCATTGCCGGTATGGTCGTTTAGTTAGTTTTTCCATCGTCGCGTCGTGTCGCACGCAGTTTGTGACAAGCGGCACCGATGATTGCCCCCTGCGTAGTAAAATAAGGCGGGACGGCAAGGGAGAAATTAACATACACAAAGATACAGAGCACAAGTGTTTTTTCGTGCAACTATTAATTTTTGTCCTTTTTTAGTCATTAAAAACGCCCGTCCGTACAATATTGACATATGCCTCTTTCTTGCACCCGCATGTACGCGCATTATCATCATCAACGTCGCATCTGGCAATAGAGAACATCATCAACAAGCGTGTGTATTCTTTCCACAGACACGCATCCACGCACACCACAAATAACGAGCACATAAAACGAGTAAGCAAAAATAATATTAATAGTAGCTACGAAAAGCATATATTTATTTTTATAATATATTTAGAAGTTCTATTTATGCAGCGTCAAGTCCCGTCAGTCATCCGTTAATTTGTATTGACTTACATTACATTTTGTTTACTTATCTGATGACTGACATTATCTTATTATCATTACTATGATGATAATGTGGTAGCCGATTTTTAGAAAGCGCCTTAATGAACAGTTCAATATATCGTTGGTATATTCCGTGCTGGTTACAAATTTTTACTTCTGCCATATATCGCAGTTTTAGGTGTTATTTATTGTGTCATTTGTCTATGATAATTACTGGAAGCTACTATATAACGACGAATTAAAACAAAATATTTTCTTCTACTCAAACTACCCATCGAGTTATTTTCCATATTTTTTTCGTTTGCACACTAAGGTACTTTATAACTCATCGGGTCATATATTTTCTGCGATTATTAAAAAACTTAGAACACTCACTCAATGCCGTGGGTTGATCCTTTACTTGAGTACAACTTCTCCGACGCAGTTCGCCATGTTTGCCAAAAATTCCCCTACAGTCTCACATCTTATGCCCTAGTGTACGCACTGATTTTTGGCTTTTGAGTTATCTTAGACTGTTTTTCACTCTCAATACGTATGTAATGATTGACTATGAACGTGTGACCCATTTTGTCGGCTCATTAGGCTGAACATCCGTTATCTTTGCCGACTCTCACAGAGTAAGTTGCACATAACACCGTTCTACAGATGTAAATGATGCCTATAATTAATCAGATGCCTTGTTCAAGTTATAACGAACACATTCGTCATACTAGCGTATATATAAATATATATGAATTGATGCTAGTAAAAAGTATGTGAAATGCCCAATTGCTCGAGCATGTGTAATGTATGTTGTCGCTATCACTATTGCGTGTGTATGCCACCAGTGCTATTTTTTTTGACAAACAAAACGGCATTTCGTTGAGCTTCATTAGCAAGTAAATAATTTCGAGAAACACTACGGTGACTAGTTGACTCTATTTAAAAACTAAATTGTCGGAGTATTCAGCGCCCTACACTCCTGAAGTAAATCATATTACTTTGCGTATTGTCAATCCTGTGTCTGTGCTGGTCAGCACACATCACGTAAACGCTTGGCAAAAAATGACTTCAAACTCAAACATTACTTCGGCTTTTTCGGAAGTTTAGTGGCGGTTACATACTGGCTGTAATAAGTAACAATCTCGATACTGTCTTCTATTCTAGGCCTACGCTTCAATTGACTGTGTTCTTCGGTGACACCGCTGTGAACAAATTGGTGACTTCGCGCCATGCTTCACGCTTATGTGAGTGTGTGCGTTGTCGTGGCGTTGAGCTCTCTTAACTTAAACACACGCCGATGTGTTGGGTTTAATGATTGATTCTAGTATAAATTAATAGCTAGTCTTACTTTCACAATCGCACTGCTTTCATTTTTTGGTGTCGCCTGCTTCAGGCCATACAGAGTTATTGCTAATCCATGTCGCCTTCCGCATAAACTACCTCTCATTATACAGACTTAGTTATTGAATTGAACAGATAACTCAACTGCCAGTTGCTGTCTCTGCTTTGGCTAAAATCTGCAGAACATCGTCGTCGTAGTTCTCGAAATTTGCCATTATTTCACACACAAACAATTTCACACACAAGCAGATGTTCATACAGACTTATGCAAACCTATATAAGCAGGCAAAATTCAAAGAACTCACTAAAGAATCTCAATACTAGTAAAAATAATCAACTAAAACAAGGTACATTGTATACTCGAGCCAGCCAAAACCTCTGCATAGCTAATCCACAAAACTACGACAAAATTGCTTTTCCTTCTAGGCCAAAATTGCCCTCCCGCCTGTCACAGCTTCAGAATTTCGTTTGCACCCTCCACTCCTTCCCCCTACTTAACTATCTCGTAGTTATCCATTGCTTCCCTTAAAACGGCTGTCTTTCCGACGTTACTATTAGTGTTCCATCCACGACTACTACCACTACTAATGCTTTTGTTGTCTTCCTATACATATTGTTTTACTGTCTAGGGCAGCGGATCTTCCGATCTAGCCGCCCAGACTTCTCACATACAGATAGATATACCGATTTGCATCTGGTATACGGCTTTTACAATGTATTGTTACCACGAGCCTCTATTCAATGAGCTTCAAGAGGTCATCATCAAGACGTTTAGATCTTATCTTCTGACTCGAATGGTTTATTTTCGTTTATCGGCAGGCATAATCGCTAAGGTATAATAAATTGGGTACTTGTTCGTCATCTTTCTTACATTTGGGTAGAGGCATTAAAAGTAATTTGGCTAAGAATGCATCGCCTCTTCTATTTAGATGCGCGGCAGCCTTGTAAAAAACAATCGTGTCTTCTCTCACTCGTTCACTCTTTCGCACCCATTCATTCTATTCACTTTTAATAACCTACAAAATTCTAAGAGCTTCTAACTGATGAATCTTTTTTCCCTCAGCTTTTACTCTTCTTAGTTTTTCCCATTCATTATGGGAAACATAGACATATTCAACAGGTGTTCTCAATCCAACTCGCATAAGCCATTAATTCACATATATATATATATATATATATATATAGCTCTTGCCTGTATCATCTGCATATTTCACGTAAGTACAACTGGCGCCTCATTGGCCTATCCTCATCATTCCTCCATCATCCTTATTCCTACATTATCACCGTTTCTTAACACTTTCAGTTTCTTCACGGGCTTGCCATCAGAGTAAAGCCAATTCAAGAAGCGAGTTTCCTTGAACTCCTATTAAGGCTAACAGCGCGCAATCCGTCTAAGAAAAAAAGCTAGATGTGTCTTTTCAATCTAGCGTTTGTATAACGTCTTTTCTTCTTTAGCAGCGAGAGCTGATCACGATGTGTGGTAGAAAGCGCTGATTGGCCATTTTATCTTCCAGTTGTTGCAGATCGCGTGGCCCCGCAGAGCTACTTTTATCGTCATCACCAATCATTTTAGTGGTTACAAGTGTATCACAGTGTACGCACAAAGTGGGCTAAATGAAGCAGCACGAGAAGAGGTCGAGATAGCTCATTGCTGGCTCCGTTTTTTACATTCATTACTGAAGCTTTATGAATGCAGAGTTACGGAATCTTGCATGCATATGTTTTACATGCCGCCACACGCTGCTCACCACATATGATGCCGGTGAAGATTGCGACTTAATATCTGCAAAGATTATAGAGAAAAAGAGAAAGAACTGAGAAGATGCTATTCATACAATTAACGGAATAATACAATTCAGATTCCCAATTCCGAATCCGGCTATAAAAGAAGACCGATATGCTTACGTCTTAAGAGCAAGAAAAATCATATAAAGTAGTAAAGGAGGATAAGTATGAATATTAGGCAGAGCGCGTATGTTATACTGATTTATACTTCTTTTCAAATTAAATGGTTCTCTTTGATATATAAAGAATATTTGAATATAAAGGGTGGACCATTTAAATTTGAACAAATTTTGGAGGCTTGTGTGTTACAGCAGGCATGCGGCTATCCGCTACACTTAAAACAAAAAGAAAACCAGCTCTTATTAGAACTCGCTTAACTAAAAAAGCTTGTCTTCTCAGAAGTAGTTGTACTCTTAACTAAAGGAGACGATTCTGCATAATGATTTAATCCCATAGTAGCAAGACCAATGATCAAGAAGTGAAAAGGGTCTGTAACGCACACACCGCTTGTTAAAGCCAATGCTACTACTCTGAAATCTTTATATCCGGGTTATCCATGATTCCGGTGCAAAACTACGATTGTAACTATATATATATATATATATATACATGGCAATGCAATGTGATATACATATATAGGCTATTCTGTGTGGCTAAAATATTAAAACTTGTCCAGCTGTTTGTTATTACGGGCATGTGTTCATTTGCTATTCTTGGTACCAGAAGAAAATAAACAACACAGCAAAACGACTCACATATCAGAGCCGGACAAAGTGCGTCGCCTTCGCAATGCAAACATCAGCCAAAAATAAATATAAACATTATTTAATCTTTTCGCACCAAACAAACCCCCACCAATCTTAGGGACTTTTTTTTTTGCTTGAAAGCGATGGTCTAGGTTATTCCTACTTTGATGTGGTACCTGAAGAGCATGAAAAACATTTTCACAGGCCAAGTGCTTTTTCAGCTTATTTTTGATACCTATATTTTTGTAACGGCCGTTTTGGATATCATTTGCTAACTAAGTCGTCCAGCTAAGCTCCAACATAGTTTTTTTAAACTTTTTGCAGCTTTTTCCACCCCTTAAACCTTTTGACTGTTTTAAATCCTTGCATTTTGGGGATTTTCAGCCTGGTATCAACCCATGAATTAATTCTACTCGAATTTTTCGTATAAAATATAATTGTCACTTCAAAAAGTTCACACCGTTTAACGCGCAATTATTATCAAAAGTTATTGGCGTATTAACAAAGAAATGTTTTAAAATAATTAGGAAGTGGTTTAGATACCAAATTGAAGCTGTAGTCGCGGTGAGTGTTAGTTGCATTGAATAAACATGACCGCCAGCGATAACACTTCTAATACATGCAGAATACTTTTAAATCACATATTTTAATCTGATTTAGTTTATTGACAGCCTCGGAAAAAACTGAAGTCCGAATTTAGATGCCTTACCCTATATATATATATATATATATATATATATATATATATATATATATTATCCTAACTTCGCAGATACATTTTATTTCGTGCTATAAGGAACCAGCCGCCTGAAGCAGCAAAACTACGGCAGTACCGGAAGTAAACACGCGTTCCTACATGTATATATATATATATATATTTACATACCGTTCGAACGTCTGCACAAAAACGAAGTGCGTCAAGCACTGGCAGGAGCTCCAATAGCTCAGTATCTCGTGGATCGTTGAACCAGCTCTTTATCGGCATCGCGTTGTCAGGGAAGAGTTTGTACGCGGATGGACTATTGTCCACAATCAGGATACTGCTTGTAGAATACACAATCGATACAAGATGATATACATAGATAAACACATAGTGGATGAGAGCCTAAGATTATCACTGTAATCAGATTCTCCACAACTACAATATTAGAGTAAATACTATGATTAAAAACAATGGCGTATATTTTCAAAGAACATTATATGGGATCATAAAAGCATTGCTAGAAGGACTGTCGTTTCTAGGTAAATCTCTTGCCACTGCAGTACATAATACGATATATATGTATATGTAAAGGCTATCAGACGTTTATGATGCTGCGATATGACAATGGAAGCCATTCAATAGGTTTACTGATAAACATCGTTTCCAAAAAAGCATCATACCAAACAATTGGTGATGTCCCATTTGAGGAACCTACTTAAAACGCTCTCAAAACAGTTTGTCGTATATATATATATATATATATATATATATATATATATACAAAACATAGAAGTGATCGTTCATACATCCATAATCTATACTTATACCTGCTAAGATCCTGACTGACAGCACAGAGGTCCTTGGTGTAGCTGCCGTATTCTAAAGTACAGTGTTGACGATAGAAACGCCTCCGAAGTATATCTTTCCCGCTATCTAAGCGGTCTGCTACAGCGGTTCCATAAATTTCCATTGATGCTGTAAATACTACTAAGTCGTACCTGGAGAAAGGAGAATGGAAAAAATAACTTAATAGTTGTATATCTTGTAGTACAGATGTCGTACATCTAGTCTAGTAGCTATCCACGTTTTTAAGGTATCTAGATGACGAGTTTTGAATGGTGTAAGGAAAAAGGAAAGACAATGATAGGAGAGATGGTGAAAACGTGAAAAATAACTGCGCATGTGTGATTGCATATCTCAGCAAAGCTGCATATTTAATAAAATAATATATTAACAAACCATTTGGAAACGACTTCCAGGAAGTAGTCAACGTGAGGTCGTTTGTGAACGAAAAATCGCACCGGATGACGGTCTATCGTCACCTGTAATGTTTTGAAGGCGAGATGACAAAAGCGTTAGTCATGTATACAATAAAAAAGAAATGCAATGCAATTTTCGAAATATTAATCAATAGTAGGACGTATTTATTGCTTATTTGAATGATTCGCGTAACGAGACCGACTTTTAAATAGATTTACATTTCACATCGGGTCAGGATCTGTCTAACTTAAAATTTGTGTATCGCGTTTATGAACTCCAAAGCAATTTTGCAAATTATACAAACCAAGGAGCAGGCTCATATATATAAGGCAGAGGTATATAGTAATCGCTAGTAGAACTGAGTGATTCTTCATTTTGTTATTATCTCACTCGTTTTGTTAGTTTAATGTTTGTTTTATCAGTGAATCCGAACGACTGACTGACCTTGAGTACAAAATTTGGCGGGGTGCCCGTTGGTACTGTCTGGCGCACCATTCCATCGTGGTATGAATGAATCAAAGTTTCATCTAAATCTAGGACAAGAATTTTACGTTTCACTAAACCTGTAAGAGGCCATAGTAAATCATGTTAGAGTTAAAAAAAAGACCAGATTACTTACCTACTCGGAAGAAACATAAAAAACATGAACTGATAAGGTTCTTCACCTACAGCCAAAAAACTTGGATGGTCGTTCGTTCTTGTCTTAATTATTGTTTCGAAGACCTCAGTAAATACACATTTAATAAAGTATAGGTGAGCACATTCCTAAACCCCTGAATCGCGATTTTCAACATGTGTTAAATAATTGTGCTGTAGTTTCTATGACTAAAATAAAAAGGGCATATATATATGTCTAAATAGATCAACACTTACTTAGTCGGTGTTTGGATAACGGCGATAATGGTAGATCTCTGTACTTCACTGTTTGATGCTGTCTCATCTAAAGAAATAGAAAAATACAGTCACCAGTTAATTAGCAATCTAACTACGCACTCTTATTACGTTGAAACTTGCGTTATAGTAGTAGATATTAGTTATTACCATATTAACGGAGCAAGTGTAGGGCATAAAATTCGTCGTTAAAAGCTGACCAGTCAGTTTAACCTGTAGCCATTACTACAGAGTATAAGCATCAATTTGGGCGAAGCTTCAATGAACTCAACACAACTCGTACCATTTATGTATAATCCTGTTAGATACTAAATTTAACATTCGTTGTTGAAACAAAGAATGCAAGCTAAGGATGACTATTTTTGGTCATATATGGGTCTAGGTTTGAATCGAGCGTAAACACTCAGTTCATTTCTGGAAGGTAACCGCCTAAAGCGATGCTTTACGGCAATATCAGACATACACTCCAATCATATTTCTTAAAACGATCCAGGTTTTATATCTATATTGCCCATACAGGATGGTTCGCCTTGTAATTTGAATGTGAGCTATACCGAGGATAACGCTTTCAGTAGCCGTAAAAACCTATCGGTCGTCCATAGCGTTGTGGACCGTAGCTAGTCATTAAATGCTGATGACAACATTATTTAGTTGACAAGTGTGCCTTGACTTGAATTAAATTAAGCAGATTAATAAAATTATTGGTTGAGAAGTGATGAAGAGCTAAATTATACCCTAAAATTCTCAGTGTATATGGAGCTTTATAAATGTCACTTAGCCTACGTGTCGTAGATGTCACTATTAAGATGCTGTGAATACCACTTATAATTGAGCACCCCTACATTGATGACAATTACTTTGATGTTTGCCCATTACATACCACAGACGAGAAAACACCTGAGTGAGCGTCACCAAAACGAGCAGCTGTTAAAGAAGTGTTGCAAGCATTTTTAAGTAGGCTTAGATGTTTTTTTACATAATAGCAAACCAGCAAACCATGTGTTCGACCACGGAAACAAACTGTCTTCTGTTCAACCATGAAGCGAAGAACAGCAAAAGTAACGAGAAGCTAAGGACATTTCTAAAATACCCTATATTGGCTTTCAGCGCACTCTTATAAATAGTGAGATTATCACAGCTAACGGCAAACCAATATTTGTAATAACCGAACACTCGTAAACACATTATGCAAGGTTCACTTCGGTGGGATAAGTGTGACAGAGTTTTTATAGCAACATGTTTTTGTCCTCTGTGTTCGTTTAATACCAAAGTTACACAGCTCCTTATCTCCTAAAAACAATAATAATAATAAAGGAGTAGAAGAGTATACATGATATTAACTCTTTAACGATATTCCCTAATGTGTAGCAAATTTATATTGAACAAATTTCTAAGACACCGTCTATCAGTTTATTTTCTGCAGCATTTTTTACTATTGCCGCTTTCGCACTGTTATATATGCAATGAAACTAAAAGCAAATGTAGCGCTTTGAGATAAAGAACAACCTTATCAATGGAGCAATTTTGTGCAAAATAACAGTGCAAGAGTGTAAAACAAAATAAATGTCTTGTGTGGGACATGTTTTTTTATGAGAGTTCTCTTATCTGCCCTATTGAGTCAAAAGTTAGTCGTCATATTTTACAAGATGTTCCGTCAGGTAGCATAACGTTTCATTGAGCACACAAAGCTTGCTGGATAAAAATATGCTTAGACTGTCTGTGCAAAGACTACATCTACAGGCGTAATTAGAGCCAGATGAATGGTCTGTACTCATATAGGACACTATATCCTATCATGATGTTAGTGTTTTGCGATCACTCTTAAAATATGATCTTTACAGTGTTATTGATGTCAAACTCTTAGTTAAAATCTCAGTTAGTTACCTGGGAAAGAATTAACTTATCGCACAAAACTTGAATCGCCTTTTTTACATTTTAGTGAAACGTTCAAGCTGGCTTAGTTTTTACAGTTAGGTAACTGAATGCCACTGCGAAAGATGGTCTCACGATGCCTATAACAAAACAGATCCCGAAAAGGCAGAATAACAATGTAACCTAATGTAAATATGAAGAGCTTTTGTTTGTCAAATGATACTTCCTTGTCGCAATTATCTCTATGTGAGCCTCTATCGATGAAGCAATAACATGAATGAGATAGAGTGACCACATCGATCACACGTTTATGGCAAGAAAAAAACCTTCAATAAACTAGTCTCCGCTGAATCTTACGTCCAGTTCTAGACTGACTTTACTAAAATAATATTATTAATGAATAATATTCCGTTTATAAAATATTGTGTACATTGTATAAATATGAAACTTCAACTCTGTACGGCAAGACTCACTACAGGTAGTACTAGAACCACAGCTTCATCTGAAAGCACATAATGTACAATATTATAACACTGTATGCTCAGAAGATGGTCGAACGAGACTATTACAGAATGCAGCCAGCAAATCAATCAAAGTATCTTCAACGAAGTTGACCACTATTCAAGCCAGTGTTCTTTATCAGTCTTTTCGGGTAAGGTGTTTGTTATATTACATTATTAAGTCTTCACCCGCACGTTTGGCGCAGCATAAAACGGGAAACTTTCGGATGAAATGCCCACTTCAGATGAATCTCGGAAGATCGGATGAAATGTGAGTTAAAATGATAAAAATGAGCTAACACTATAAACACTAATAAAGAGCATCGACAGTTTTAGCATCACTGTCACTGGCTGACCCACTGGCTAGAAATGAGCCCTTGACATGAACACCTAGACACAAGACTCTTTTGATTTGTTTTGTTTCCATTATAAAGGTAAAAAAAATTTCAGTGCTCAGCTACACCTGTGATATACTACTTGTCAGTATACATCATGAATTGGTATTCACACCGCGGTAGTTTTCCTGTGTTCTCGCCCCCTTTTGTTGTTACTGCTATTGTATACATGTGTGTCTACTAAGGTCCTCAGCTTGTTGATTTCTTTGCATTAGCAGTGTCTGTCTCTGGGTAATGACAAAAATACTGCCATAATCGTACCAGTTAACCTTTATTCTTTATCTAATTCCTTGTCTCAGTTGGTCATCCTTCTTCAAAATAATTATTAATGGATAACGCCAACGGACCAGAATAGACCAAATCAGCAAGCGGTGCTGAATGAACGAAAGGCAATTGTCACAAAACTACGGGGATACCTAAATAATATCGCCGTTGATAGTTGTCACCGATAATGATATAACGAGAAACATGCAGGTGAATGAGAGAAAGAGGAATCCCAATATGAAGCCCAAAACATCAATAGGTACTACACGAAAGACGTAATAAGAGCAGCTGTCTTAGTCTTATTTCTAGGAGTACTAGTTGCAGTTCATTGCTGAATCGTTCTTGTCGTCGACGTCGTCGTTGTTTAACCCCGCCATAGGCGGCACCATCACTGCCGCCAACGTCATGATGACTACTATCTACAATAACATCGTCATCTCAAAAGTAGCGCTGGTAACCAACAGCGGCAAGCGCGACCTTCGAAACAGAACGCAGCACATCGCATCGCATCGCGTAGACTCCCGCGCTGCGGTCACAGACGGTCGAACGAAATGGGGCGAGATAGGCAAACACACAAGGTGTCGGATGAACATTGAAACAGACCACTCTGAAGAGGGCTTCCAAAGCTACTCTACACAAAGGGCCACTGGAGGGAAAGAAACTCAGGGGGATGGCATGTTGCTGTCGCTGCTGCTGTAGACAATTCTGGAAAGAAGAGCGCGAAAAGGTTACAGCGGCGGCAATCACAAAGATTTAGTTCTGGCTCACTCGCGACCGAGCAAGCAAACGCCGATAGTTGACGACAGACACTTCAGTCAGCCAGTGAGCGGAGACTCAGACAAAGCATCAGACATTAGACACAGGAAAGAACCAAAGTCTTGCAGCTATGAGAGCTATAGGACATCGAAAGATTCATGCTGGAAGCTGTTGTCGCTACCGGTTTGCTGCCGTTGTCTGCCTGGTGTGACCTTGCATTTTCACCTGCTGACTTACTAGCCCAACAGCAGCAGCGGGAGCAGCAGTAGTCACTAATGTAATTCATCAGGAGTTAGCTACTCGTCTTTTGACTGCGCTCCGCCACTCTCCCTGTATGTTTGTTTGTATCTTGCCAACAACATTCTCCTGCTAGTAGCGATGGCCAGGCAACGAAGCCTAGTAGACAGTCTGATAATTTTCTATCAAGACCTGAATGACAGATCGTAAAACAGCACGACCATGCCCAGAGCAATTCTAAAACCAACAGAACGCAGTGGCATCAAAAAGCGAAATGTGGGGGCAATTCGCTTTTCGCTTTACAAATGATGATGACAGTTACGACTCCGAAAGACTGGCACTGTGTTGCCGGTTTAAATGAAATCGATTTCACTCCAATTATTGTCATTATTGCCCGTTATTACCTCCGTTATTAGAAAACGAGTGCGCGCGAGAGAGGAACGGATGAAGATAGTAAATAGCGGCGTCATTTCACTCTATCGCCGAGCAGAAGAACGAACTGCTAACCCCGCTTTACTCCCATCGCAACTTGTCCTGTGGCACGTTTACTGTAATTGTACCTCAGTGACAGCAGCAGCAGAAATAGTAGTTTTAGCAGTAGCTACGGATGTATGTGCGTGTAGCACAGATAACATGTTTGATTACTAAACTTAGAAACACGTAACAAGGGTTGGCTTTGAAACGAAGCGTAGACCCACGGTTCATTTGGTGCTGAAGAACCAACTGTATAAGGCAGTAAGGTTTAATGGCTCAAAGTGCCGGATGTTAAACTCGAAACATTCATTTATTTGACAATAATGATTTCGATGAAAATAAAGAAGGACATCAGGGGATGTCCCAAGCTTCTAAGTAAATACCTATGCATAAGAACTATAGTTGGTGCATGGGGCGTTTTACAGTTAGCCTTTATATGAAAAAAAAAATAAAGACAGAAGTAGTGATTATATAGGACTGATAACACTAAAATGGTTGTGATAGAAATCACTGTTATAATAATCATAAAAGTCGAAGAAGCAGCCTCAAGTTCGGCTGTACCAGGAACCGTGTCTAGTCAGTAAGGAAGAGCACTGCTGCACAGGTAGGGACTCAGCTATCAACTAGGAGCCTTTCCTTTTTTTGAGCGAACTAACGTCACCGTCAAATGACGTCAATGACAACGACCGCGGTTTTCAGCCTTAGCTATTAGGGCGGCATTGTCGGTGTCGGTGAGATAAACTGATCACTTATGCCACTATCAATCTAAATGTCGTGCGTGTCGGCTATTGACATTGCTCTTGCCGTTGAATATCTGTGTTGTTGTTTCTTCTTTTTCCAGACAAACCACCACTTTCCTCCTATTGTGTATATAGATCTAGATTCGATGCACCGATTGCGTGTATAATCCTTATTCGGCCATTGTCAACTAAGTTTTGCACCGCTTCTCCAACTCACTGGGAACCAAATCAATAGTTCGGAGAGAGCCACAGATTGTACGAACAAAGAAATTGCTAATGAAATGATACCATTTTAATGGCAATGAAAAAATAAACCACGAACTGTTCAAGATGCACCCAAAGCGGCTGAACCGTACATATTTCTGAAAAAAGAATCTGCTCTTTTAAAGGTTATTACCGCCAGGAAGCTGCCGGTAGAATACACATATATAGTAGTGTTTCTTAGTATATCTCAAAACCGGTGCATAAATTCCTGCCCATATGTTCGAACACATATATATATATACTCATCCACATTTTGTACTATTTAATTTGCTAGTCTATTACTCACAGCCCGGCACTGTTTTCGTACGAGAAAGCAAAGAAAGCTCCATATCTTTGCCGTGATGAGCAGGAAACCTCGAAGGGCGATTTTAAGTCGTTTTAACATGACTGCCTAGGACCTCTAGTCAGAATTCCCGTGCTGCTGTTGAAGGTGTCGTTGAGTAAGTGATAGAATTTTTGTTGCTGGCGGTGGGTACTGACGATAGACAGCTAGGGCTCGGAGACTCAGTGACCGGCAGAACGGAGCGCCAAGAGTAATGAAAGCGCTCAAGCTCACTGTTTGCACTACTGCTATCGCTGCCGGAATGCACGTAGTTATTATTATTATTATAGGAGACAGCACTAGCGGTAGTTACAGTTGGTTTGAGCAGGACCGCCCGTAATCGATTGCTGATTGAAACAGCACCGCTTTTTGATGCTCTTTTTAGCTTCGTATAAGATACTAACAACAACCGCAATAAAAACAACAATAATAACAATAATAATATAGTACTGCTTCTACTAGTGCTATTCGACAGCATTCAGCGTTGCCGCGTTGTGTAACTATCGCACTTGCGCAGTTGCGATATCTGTACGTAATGTAGTTCGACTTTTATAGGTGTGGAGGGCAATCGCGGCGATATCACCTATGATGACAACAACGACAGGAACTCGAATCGATTAGTACTCCTGCTTCTGCTAATACTGCCGGTCTGCTTCTCGTTGTAGTAGTAATATCAATGTAGTTGCACGGACTGAAGCCCCCTGATTTCACTTAACCACTCCTGCCGGCTGAGCACTCCACAGAAACGAGTACAACAATAACAATAGCAGCAGCAGCAGCAGCAATATGACAGCGGGAGCGAGGACACTGAACAACACAGTTTGGCCACTATGCCCTCTGTTGTAGTTTCAGTTGGCTGCGACTGGCGGCGACATTCCCCGCGATGACAACAACGACGACGACGACGGCGGCGGCGGCGGCGGCAGCAGCGGCGACGACGACGACAACACCAATTCGTCAGCGGAGGTCAACACTAGCACAGATGGTCACCGGTCAGAGCGAGTCGACACCAACACTGGCAGCGTACACTCGTTCCTCAAGTAAATGAAAAAATTGACACCATCAGCGATACGCAAGGGCTGCTGGTACTACCGTCGTCTATTGTTGCTGCTGCTGCTGCTGCTGCTGCTACAGCGGGTCCCGTACACCTTACAATATTAACCGCCAATCGAATTTCACAAACAGAGCGGAGCAGCCGCTGCGTTTGGGTCAGTCGATGGTAATAATAATAAAAATAATAACAGTAATAATGACGGTTGATGGAAGATTACAACGAACAGGGACAAACTAAGGGGTATAACACATAACACGGAACAGAAGAAACTGCGGTCGTTGTCGCTAGTCGTACTGCTGCTGCTGCTGCTATTGCAGGGGTCCAGAACTCCGCACACAAAAATCGTTCGATAGAAAGCTCACGCAGTGAGTTCACACACGAATCCATCTGCCATTGACCGGAACTGCGTTACACTCTGCCTTATCACGAACAAAAACGCTAGAACGGTTCGAGTAATCTTATTATGAATCTGTTCTAACGACGATAATACTGCGATTCTGCTTCCCGCTATTTACTTAGCGAGTTTCGACTAACTCGGTCTAGCCTCTCTATAGGTGATAACTGTCCCTGTCGCTTGTACAACTGGGATTTCGCCTATAACCGAATGTTGTTGTTGTTGTTGTTGTCATAGTCCCTGTCGCTGTTGCAGTCGTCTCACTCTGCTGTTATGATCGCTGCTGCTGCTGACGACGACGACGACGATCGCAGTTGTAGTGATAATCGTCTTGTTTGTTCGCTCGTCGTGTGAGATGATAACTCGAACGATTTGTTTCTGCCAACAGCAGCAGGTGGCTGTACAGCCACCACCAGCAACAGTCCTCGCTGTCTTTCAATGTCTCAGTGAATTTGACTAAGTCTTTTTACTCATGCTGCGCTTGATGGTGCCATAGCAGTGTTTTTTTCTCTCTCTCTCTCTCTTTCTCTGGTATTATGCTGATCAACGACGACGACGATGATGAACACAGAACGAAGATGAACGAAGGCCGCAGGAGAGACTTCGCTCGGTATGTCGCATTCGCTCACCATCGATCCAAGCGGTTGCCGATGACGGCCGGAATCATCAACAGCATCAACAATCGGAATCAGTATTTCATCCAACGAATGTAGGGAACAGCGAGAGAATGTCGATACGATGCAAATAGGAAGCCCAACAGTATCAAAAGCAAGTTAAGCCAAACAACAAAGTAGCAGATTGGAAGCAGACGACCAGACCAGAACAGACGAAATCTCGTCAAATCAAAAACATCAAGATGATGTGAGGCGGGCGGTTAAGAGTTCCTGAGTGAAAAAGTTGCGCAGGGTGGATGCGTGTATCACTATGTGATATCCTAGTGGCAGAGTGTTAGATGTCTAAACGTAAAGACACGTGAGATGGTTTAAGTTCAATACCAGTTGTAAATACGCGTCAGTTTATACCGGGAGCCGACATTTAGAGTAGTGCTTAACGGTCGTTGCACCTGAGGTGAAACCCTACACGCATAAAATTGGGGGCGTTCCTAGGTGAACTACTGGATGCATGCTCTTTTTTTACGATTTTATGCGATTAGTATTCATAATTGAAATTATTTAACAATACACATGATTGGCTGTCTTACAACGAATGCCAGGAAGTACGCTGCTTGTTCTCTTATGAATACATTACGCCGTTGAATAGTATTGTTTTACGATTATGAACTTAATGAGCTACGTGCGTTATCGCTGACAGTTCAAGTATAATCTCGAATTTTGGGAACAATAGAGACAAATCAGGATGCAAACGATAATATGAACAAAAAGCACAAAAACCAAGGACCAAATCTGGACGAAGCAGTATAAACAAGCGAAGGCTGGACCCTAACAAGAAGTTTGATTGTATAGATAATGGTCCTTTTACTTCGAGAGTTTTTCGCAATTTGCGCATAAGGTTCTTTCATCCATCTACTGTGTATTATAGACAAAAAATGGACAAAATATTAAAATGTCAAATTTTTATCTAAAAAAAGAAGTTGGTTACAACTGCTGGTATCTCTATCCATCTGCTCAGCTTCATTTCCGTGATAGCGCGCTGATAACATGTTTGTCTGCAAAGATTAGGAACACCTCGCAGGTTTGAGTTGGGACGCAGAAGGACTTCGTTCTGTGCTGAGAGGCATCCCTGTCAAGCAATGCTTAACGGCTTGCGTACCGGATGTAGAGCTCGACATTAATTTACTTAGCTTCCAGTCTAGTTAATTTGGTGCATGTTCTACAGTTTGTTTTTCACGCCTGTATGGACGATTTAACCGAGATGTGCTTAATCATATCTATTTACTAATAACGAAAAGTCTGTGTCTGTCCATTTCTCAAACCCAAAGCAATTATTTTCGCGAGTAGCTAAAATTTGGCCTTGGGGAAAATGGCGGTAAAGATGGAGCCGATCGGCCAAATATTGGTCTTCAGGAGGAAAAGTTTGCTTTCGTTCATAAAGCGTAACATTCATTTGGCGACAGTAACTTCGTTCTCATGGTTCTTGTTCGGAAACAACGCTATACCAGCCTTTACAAAGCGGCCACCCGCATCGTCCGGGGTAACATATCATATATATAAATGTATATTTGTGCTCCACTTACGTTGTGCAAACAAGTGTGCTCAACGTGTGTTTACTGGCAAAACTACTAGGACTTCAGTACACTATAGAGTGGTTAGATTTTTTTGAATATCCTTGGTATTTTTTTAAACGCTGATTGACTACGCAAGCCTGGAAAAGTGATTACAGACATTAAACCAACTTGATCCATTACATATGGTAACAGAGTGCTAAAATAGGCCAGAGCATTATTTGGCCTTCGATTACTGAGCGAGTATATTAACCCTAAGCTTTTACAGCCTCATTTAACAAAAAAACATGAAAGTGTATTGTATGCTTTTGAATATCTAGTTTTAGGAAGTCGTTTGTAAAATGGCATAAGATGAATTTTAAAAATTATAAGAAATGAAAACTACATTACCTGTGTAAATAAAGAAAATTATCAGTCGCAGTATCGAGTAAGTATTCCTATAAACCTGACATACATTGTTACTAACTTAGGAAACCTAGCGCCAATAGTTCAGGAAGCTGCGAAACTGAACGAAAACTTTTTCATACGCGACGTGTACAAGGTAAAATAGGACGCGAAACACAGTCTAAACGGAAGGCGGGCCTTGGCAGAAAAATTAATTCAATATTATACATAAGCCTCATATTTTTGGTTTGATAGATTCCTAAATAATAGCGTCCTTAACGTAATTTAGGATTTCGGAACAGTTTTTTGTAAACTGCGAAGTAAGTTTCCTTCCCAAAAGTAAGGACGACAATGAGGCAATATTGTGGCGTTGCTATTTCAGTAATAAAATTCTTTTCTTAGATCCCATATAGCAGGCTCCACTATTTGTTTGGAACGTAGACCATACATAGGCTATTTGTACTTATTAGATTTGTTATTAAACACAATCCTTCCAAATAATTATCCTCATGCACAATTATAGGATCGTGTTCCATTAGGTACTGCAGCTACCTTATGTTTTAATATTAACTGTAAGGAACAACAGCTCTTTACTGATTCCATGCTGCGACGGAAATTGTCTAGTTTACGACTTCTGCAGTGAAGACCAAAAGAGTCTCGACCTGAATACTATATTGAAATAATGATCAACACTATATGGAGAGAAAAATATACTACCAAAAGCAGCAAGGAAATATATCATTAAACATTCAACAATAAAATTACAACTAACTACGACTGTGAGTGATCTCCGATATAAATATGTTCCCCAAACTGAACGTTTCAACAAATTTTGCTGTAAAAGTGTACTACTAGGCACGTCGTCATAGAAATAATAGACCCTATTAAATATTTCACTGTTGCGCATCACTATACAGTTTTTCAGTAAGTCAAGACACGCTCATGTATATATAACATTATATAATTATCAACAAGCACTACATTTCAGCGTAAGGGACTGCGCTCGTCTGTTTGAAACGTAGGACACAGCCATTATCCAACTGATAATGAACGACATTGCTGCGACGTGAACTTTAACAGGCAAGTCAGCATAAATAACACTTTAAACGGATGATTGAATATTTGCTACCACTCGGCTCTTAAAAGGCTTAAAAATTAAACGAAAAAATTTAGACTATGACCCACTTCGAATAATCTGAATTGTTTTAAGTTAAATAAAAAACGTAAGTAAATAAAATTGTTGCCTGAAACAATGATACGGTATCTAAAAATAAAGCTGAAACTTCTGTGGGGCCCGATTGGTGAGCCGTGTTTAATGATGATTATGTTATTGATATGTATATAGGTTTTCATGTTAGCTAAAGGTGAAATTAGAAAAAACTAGAGTATAATAAAGTAAGCCGTAACACAAAGGTACCTGTCATATTTTTACTTTACAGCTTATACTATTTTATTGCTAAAAGTTCAGCCAAAGAGCTTATCGTCTATTGGTTTCCTAGATTAGCATTCAAGTCTCCTGATTTTACGTGAAGTACGCGATCCACCAAAATTAAGGACATCACTAAATGAAATCGTGTACCGATTACTAGCACATTCTGTACTGTGTGAGGCGTCGGAGTAGTATCATCTTTTGATGTTAAGTGCTGAAGCCCAGTATATTGGATGTGAAGCCCAGTGGGTAGTGATTTAAAGCCAGCTTTTCGGACTGTATCGTCTTTAGTTGCTATTCCATTATGGTCGCTGCAATGAAGGTTCCGATGTAACACCTGAATCATCTGCCTAGAAACATGACCTATGTGATCGTTTTCATCTTTTTCGTCGGCTCTGGGGCCAGCAGACAGACAACTAAAAAACAAAACTTCATTGCTACCGTTAAAAAAAGCCGCGGCCAGTTCAGACCAACGTTTGGTAACAGTGTGTAACAATTACATTTCGCCATCACGCGAATGGCAATGTCCTTGTGCACTGTGTTGAAAATTTGTTTTGTGTCGATGCATCGTATATCTATCGTACCACAGCAATGCTAAAGTCTAGGACAAAAAAAGCACCTTCAGCAAACACTCTAATTGTAAAACCTATTTTTGTATTTGAAAAGCCACGGCGACGAAATCTGCCTGATGCGGGGTAGTTCAATTACCGTTGTAAGCAATACACTTGTAATATTTAGAATTTATCACTGCTTCTAACTATAGCCTAGTAGCACCTAGTAAGCTTCTATAAGCATTCGTGGAATCGTTTTCACGTAATGAATGCAAAACAGTAACATGTTGGGAAAAACACTAACTCCGTTTTTGAATGCATTTATGAATTTGTGTTTATTATAACTCATACTTATAATCGCAACATTGTAATTCTATATAAATGCTTTAAAACTTTTTGATTCAGCGAGCCACTACAAGTGTGGCCTAGTAAATGCTAAAAACAGTACGAGGTATAATGTCAAGAATTACTACTGCACTATATGAGAAAATGACGAGAATCCGTTTGAGAGTTCGCAAAGTAACTTGAAAACACGTTGTCTAAATGCTTTTTTAATCTATGAAATAAATTTATTTTTTGCTTTAGCTTCTTAAGTATTTGCTGACAAAAATCTATACAATTTTTTCGTCTGAAACGAGACCATTCAATACCTCATGTTATATCTTATCCCTTATATTAACTATTAACTTTATAAAATATTGTTTAATGTATTATAGACAATGATTAGTATCATCATTATCATTATCGCCGAGTTTATTAACTGAAATACACTTAACGGATGGTGAAGTATTGATTTATGAGCAAACCACACCCTTAGAGCGACTTCGTCTATTTATTTCACGACGATGAGTCTCTAACGCGCGTTAGTGGTAGTACTGTAGTTGCAGGTGCATTAGCGGTAAGAGATTTGAACTCTTGAAGATAATTCGGATCATAATATTTTGTGACCAGGATACAACATATGCTCGAGCGTTTGAACCTTCTTGGGATCTGAACCTCTTTGCTACACCCATAACCCGAAATGTTATTAAAATAGATACTTTGACATTTTGAGCACTTTAATTATTATATTTATTATTTTCAATGCTTCCAGACTTTATTTCAGCAAGAAAATCGTCTCAACATGTACTACCCTAATAATGACGAAACCTTCGAATAAATCGCAATGAAAACCATATGCTTTATTCTGGCATTTTTTGTTTTACTTCCGTTCCTCATGTTGTTTCTGCTGCTGTAAGAATCTCGTAGAAACTCTGCTCCCCTTCCTATTTGCTATTCCTCATTGCTTGCACATAATCACACGTTAGCATGTCTCATAAACGCCTCTGTTGTCTGCGGGCCACCGGTATTGAGTTTATGGCTCGTGAAATGTCAAAACAATAATTTTTAAACCTACATATTGTATCATATCCTTTCGGATCTTACTCTTACTTTCATTTTGCCTGAAGAATACTTTTCGGCATGTTCGGACTGGCCTGCTTGCGATGTTTCAATACTGTTAATACATTCAACAATTTTACCATATTTTCTAACCGCATCTTCTTGGATTTCCTGTTTCGTACCGATGAACTCGCACAATTCCCATCGCTTTTTGCGACAGGCGAGCGTTGTTTCACCTACTGCCCATTTCTGTAATTAATGATATTTATGTTGTTCTCTTTTCCCAGCAGCTACTTGTGATTAATTCGCCTGTCTAAACGAAACTCCCAGTTGCTTTGGTTTGGCTTTAACTGTTACAAACCTCATAAATAATCAACAAAAGATAACGATTTTGACAAGTATTTTATATATAAATGTAATTCCTTCATCAAAGAATGCATAATAAAAGATAAATTTAGTTTTTGACGCATGCTAACGTGACAGAGCTACTAAGATTATTATGAGATGATTAAAACTTTTCTTTTGCTTCATGTAAACTTGAACAATCACCAAAAACGTCAAGTATGAAATAAATCATGATTACATATTTCAGCATTTGCTTTATTTAATCTTTTCACAGAAAAACGAGATAATGGCGAGAAAAACTTGGATATTGTTGCACAATCAGTCACTTTGTCTTACCACATACATCCTCTTTCCTTTCTTCTCTCAGATTCTGCCATATGTTTCTTCGAAAAGAGGGGGTGTCTATATTGTTTTATGATATTTTTGCCAGTGCTGTTTGTGTTGATACTGCAAAAACACGCCTGCGTCTCGTATGAAAATGACCATTTCTATATTTTGTTACGTTGTTCAAGCACGTCACAACCAAAGGGGAGGTTTGCAAAATGAAGGGAAAAGTAGTGTTGACCCCGTCCAATTTGACTCGTCGTTTATGTGGATACAGTATTTCGTAAGATTATAATTTTCATTACAATCGGAAGTTATTTCTGCGAATGCTTCGTAGCGGTAGAAAGAATGCGAATGTTTTTCTCTGTAGACTACTGCTAATCAGTTTCTTGTATATTAACGTTGACTGCAATCGAGGTAATTCACGTCCGTAACTCCCTCCGTTTATTTCCTTTTGTTTTTTATTTGGGCTGACAGTTAACCGGGCCTTGCGTTATGTATGGGTTATTGCATATTGCCTATTGGATATACTCTGTTTGATGAAAATCAACTAATCCTTCTGTTTTTTCCATACAACATTAACATTTGTTTTGCTTTGAACTGGATAACAGGATACGCCGCACCACAGTTCTACCCATATCAAACGGCACTCATCGTCATGATTTTCAGTTCATATTCTCTTCTTAGATACGCTCTTGATGCTAGATTTTGTTTACCCTATAGACAATAATTTGAATTTTCGTTTAGTAATAGCATAACAGGCTGTTATAGGTACGCAAACATTTTTCTGTCGTTCTTAGTCGCAGGCTGCTCGTTTGGACAACTACCACTCCGCCCCATATCTTTGCATTAAAGCCAATTCACCAAATCAATTTCAAGCGCACTGTAGAAATAGCAGCAGCTTTATGTGCATCAAGTTGAAATCAGATGTTGCTGGTTAGATGCAACGCAGACGCAGAGACAGAGGCAATATCTATGACGGAACGATCTAGACAGAAGTTAAGGCGCATCACTGGTATTGCCTGCACAGGATTATATTTGAGCGGGTACTACCTATTGTTCCTCAGTAATGAAATTATTGGTTATAATTAGAGCACTTGCCCAAAATATGACGACATAACAGTTGCGATTTTTTGATGCAAATTCTAACTTGGGACAGAGTGGTGGTGGAGAGAAGAGTGGATTGTTGCGGTTGTTAATATTTTTACTGCGGGTCCTGTTACGCCTGAACATCGACGAGTTCAGGAGGCATCGTCGCCTTTGGGTGTTTCGACTCGAAATGTTGCTTGTAGGTCTTCGGGTCCGGCATCTGAGATTTGCAGACTGAGCACGTGTGCACGAGCGCCTTCATCGCAGCTGCTTTTTGGTCAGTACCGCCCTTTCGCATCTGCTCCAGCTTCTTTGCGTTTTTTTGCTGCGACTGAATCTTCTGCTGACCGCGAGCCATTATTCTCGTTGTTGACGCTGAAGTCGCAGTAAGATTATTAGGTGAAATGCTATCTAAAACGCAAAATTACTCGTTCTACAACACTGCACAACACAAACAGGTCGAACACTCCGTTGAAATATGGTAACGACGAAAACGTGAGAAGTTCGATTCGGAAAGTACTCTGGAAATTAACTTTCCTCTATAGTTTTTCTCTGCGTTGCAAAAAAAGTGATGTCTCTAACAGTAGTTCCAACAGATTTCTCCAGAAAAGTTCGACCGCCAAAAGCTAAGCAAGTCACTTCAACTGCTACGAACTGATTACTTTTCAATTGTTGATGACGATGACGTCGATTTGGCTGCTATGCCGCTGCCGGTAGGTTACTTCTGCTACTGCTGGCTGCCCCGATGATGTAAAAGTGCCCCTGGCCGTTTACACTACTGCAGCTGCTGGCCGGTGACTATGCCGTCCACCGCCGCGACAGCTACGGCTACTTCCAGTAGCACCAAACAACAATGCCAACAAGGGCGCTATCAAATGAAACTCTCGAGCTGGCGACGGCAAATCGACGTCGTTCTCCTTTGTAGTCGATACTTGACCGGCACGAGAGGAACGGAACGTCTATCTTCGTTCAACGATTCGTTCGTTATTGAGCAGCTTAGCTGTTCGACTGGTGCTGCTGCCGCCGCCGCTGCTGCTGCTGCTGTGTCGTCGATCAGAAGTAGTAGAAGAGTGAAAGCAGGAGCGGTGGCAATGGCACCGCTGTGCTTGTTACGTTCACTTAGCCATTTGGTGCCTCTCGCCGTGTGTAAATAAATCCGTAACGGACAGCAGAAGTAACTGTATAGGCAAGAAGCAGAAGAAGCAGTGCAACAGCGAGGTCTCTGCTGCTACCGTCGGATAGAGACCTTTTCTTGCAACTTTGTTCGCCTCCTTCGTTCGTTCGCGAATCCCTCACTCACTCACTTAGCTGTCGCCTGCTTCGGCTGCTGCTTTCTGCTCTAGTGCCCGCAGCGCAACTGTTGCCAGCGATTCTCAACGACGCCGCTTAGCCGCAGCAGACGGAAAACGAGTGGTCAAACAATTTCCTATGAGGACTGACTGTTGTTGGCGCTGTTAACCTCGTGTGTAGCGGCTGCTGCACAGCTGCGTTAAAGCAGCAGCGGCGACAGCGGCGGCTGTTCTGATGATCAACCTAGACAGGGAAAGAACCGGTAGTGGAAGCGCGGGCTATTCAAATGACGAGAATGTGAGCATTTCGCTAAGAAAATACGACCTTCCTTTAGATGAATTGTGTATTTCGTGATATAAGCCTAGTAACCTCTGATTTTTCTTAACTAGAGACAGGAAACCAGATAAATAAAGGAAGAAATATCATCGTTCCTCAATCAATGCTTGAACTGGTTTATTAAAAGAAGAACGTAAAAGATAGAAGGAAGTTTATACCGGACAAATGAACGCTCTAAATATGAGCGATTGGTCTCTTTGCTTAAACTGACCTAAATTTACGCAGGCGTCTTGTACCTACATTAACAGGAAGGTGGTAATATAATATGATAAAGAATTGACAAATAAATATGCATAATTTTGTATTTTGAAATTTTAAATTTAAAAAACGAATTGGATTGTTGACATTAAACCCAGAAAATAGCTGCATCAATATTCTATAAAAAACAATGAGACAACTGTCGCACACAAAATGAATAGTTGCCGTTACGCAAGTACTTGTAAAAAATATCTCGAAACGAAGCCCTTCAGCCAAACTACATGGCCGCATAATCATACCCACACATGAACCGAACACGAAGCCCATTTCATCGCATGGATTATATTTTAGTTACTATTATATCGACCCGTGAGCTATCGCATACAGCAACTGCCCATTCGACTGTATATTACCAATTTATAGAAATAAAAGGATAGAAAAATGCATTGCTTTATCTAATCGAGTATATATATACATATAAGATTATTCATATGTTTCATGTGTACCGTTCCTTTTTTGCGTTAGACATAGTATATTTAATCTGCCGAAATCTGAAGTTTTCCCAGAACAGCTGGGTTTAGGTTGGGACTGTCTACATTTGTGTATGTTCCGCCGTCGCTCGCCATTGTGTTTACAAACATAGCAGAACAACCGAGTGAAAACTAAAGGGAATGCGCGTGTTCTACAAACGGCGATGACGGGTTTGATGGGACAGATGACTACCAAACGCATTGCGCTTAAAACATTTGAAAAAAAGTGATTTGGGATTATTCGTGTTTTATTTATGAAGCAATGTTACATTGTGTTGAGCTGTGAGTATGACGTTATGGGCTGATTATATCCCGATATAGTCACGCAATACTGAAATTAATGAAGCTCAAGGAACATATTTATTTAGTTTTGTGGCTTAGCCGGTAAGTGCGAGAAATATACTACTTTTATTTAAACAATTAATAATAGAAGTATTGGACTAAAAACTCAAAAAATTTTAGTGCCATTCCATAGATTTACGACGGCTCACGCACAATTAGCATTGTAAGCCCGATAAGGCGAAGAAAAAACCGTGGCCGTTTGAGCTATCAGTTGAAACTGCAATTACTAGCTTAAAGTGTTAAAGCCTAATTGGCTTAACCCGGCATCTTGTTAGCATGCTGCTACATTGTTCACTGTAAACTTCCTACGTATTTCTATAATACAAATAATTTGTGGTAAACTTGCAGATAATTAACACATTACGCCCAAAGGAGCCGGTCCCATGCACTCGTCCGGTTTCGTTCATCAACGAAACAGATAGTTTTGTGCTCTGCGTGTCGTGTTTGCTTGTGCTTCTAATGGAGCCGGGCCCATCGTACGCAACTGAAGTAGGCAGCGTCCCTGACCCAAAGCAGGAGCAAATACTTTCTAATCTCGTTTTAATTAAGCATCCTTGCCTTGTTCGAGATGGGTCCGAGAAACGAGCTATTGCGATGCTTGGAGGAATAGCCCAGGTAGAACATACGTTTAACGTTGGAAACATGCGGATGCAACTTAACTTCCGCACAGGTATGAGTACAAATTTTCACAACATACTTAGACATTAGTTTAATATAGCATACATTTTGGAGAAGGCTTGTTGGAATTGTTTTATTGGCGTGTGACATGAAAAGTGTTAGCCAAGTTGTTTAATATCACGACAGATGCAGAAATTATATAATCCTGCCCGTATTTTAGTTTCTGAAAAAAAAAATCGACAAGGTTCGCGTTTTTCCTTGGGATCGATGCGATATACGAGGTCATGGAGTCTCGAAGCAAGCGGCAAACTTGTTTGCTTTGACCCTTAAAAATGACCGAAGTGGCCAGCCGAGAAATACGAATTGCTTGTCACGGAAACAAACAGTTTGTACAGAGGCATATCAAGGAGCGGATAGCGATATAGAGATGTTGCAGTCAACTCAAGAAACGATTGATAACGGCTTTACTGATAACTGGTTTGACAACCAGGGGTGATTTGAGGTAGTGAAGTGAGATCAACGAACATGTGGGTATCATTAGGCAAGTAAAACGAGAGCTGAACTTTTCCGGAACACACTGACTTCGAGTACAATTGTCGACAACACACTCTAGCTTCTGGTGAAATCGCTGTTTTCGGATCAGCGACTACTTGTGAGTGACGAGTTGACAAGTAGTTTTTTGAAACTTGCAGTAGTCGCAGAAAGCAATGCAATTGTATCGTAGTTAAAATATTTTCTAGGACACCAGCTAGACGGCCAAACGCAAATACGGTGTAGCCGACTTAGTGCACGTCTACGGTATAATAACGTATAATAAATAATATAATATAATATGCAATAAGCTATAAAACCAGGTTTCGAGCACTACGAAATGGACGAAGTACTACTGCTTTTTTTTTCGAATTGTTCTATATACTACAATTTTTGTAGAAGGTGACAGTTGTTCGAAAGGTATCTTCGGAACTCATCGCGACATCATTGGCATATGGGCGGTCGTGCGTCGCTATCGGAATCGTCGCACCGGACAGGTGGGAAAAATGAAGACTTTTAATTCTGTTTTGTATATCTCAATGTCAAAGTCCCGTCGGCGGTGTAGTAGAACTGCTGTTAGCCATGGAATATAGATGATCGAGGTAAATTTATCATAATAGAGGGTACTATCTTCTTCAAAGGTGATTTGCCACAGTGAGCCGCTGGGTGTGGTCCGACACGTTTATGAGTTCGATGGAATGGCCGATTTTCAGTACCTGCCTGCGATCCTTGTTAGCCAAAGAGCTGTACTTAGTAAGGAAGGGACGTCTGCCACAATGAGTGCGAAAAGCGAATTAAGTCTCGGCCTTGTTCGTAAAGAAAAGGTGCTACAAAGATATTTAGTGAATGAGGGAGCTTGATAATAAGGCCCTTCGTTTTAGGAAGTAATAATCTAAAGTAAAAAATGTATAGGTATACACTAAACTAAAATAACTATAAAGTCCAATGATTATTGTTATAGTATGCACTATTTTTTTTAGCATTTAGGAACAACCAGGGATGCAGTCTTCAGGAAATTGCCTCCGAACTTAAATCAAAAAACTAATTGTGTATATGAATCGGTATAGTTATATTACGCTAGTGAGGAGTATCAACCAATGTAAGGATTTTTTAATTTTTTATTGAATTATTGCTATGCATGTTTTAGGTGGACTCGTCATCCAATACACAGGCCATCGCCCTGGAAAAGCCAAAGGACAACTTAAGGGAACTGCCCGACTTAAGTTCATCTGGTAACAATGAAACGCAGACCAGTTCTAACGAGGGCAGTACTAGACCATTTGTTAGTGAGAGAAAGCATATCACTGACATGGGAAACGGTATCGGAAGGGATATACGAAATGAGCTGGTGGAAATTAACATAACTGGTCTCGAATTTGATAGCTTCGTCAAATCCAATTCTGTTCCCCTGTTTATCGTGCCGCAGGTTTGTTTGTTGCTGTTTCAAAACTTTGGCTTATTTAAGTTCGTGAAATCTTTAAAAGGTATTTTTTTTACACGCTAGAGTGATTTTTTGTTTCATATTTAGCGTGTGCCTTGAAATCACTTTTGCCTATTTTTGTGTGTATGATGCTGGCTGTATGTTAGGTGTTTACTCGAATGGATTTACCTTATACGGGCGTGTATAGACACGTGACAGGAACTCGGCTTCACCGCAAGGATGAGGCTGGACTGCCTGTTTTGCGTAAGCAACGGACGAATTATGCCACCATTGTGAGGCTGCTTGCGCCTCCATTCGGCGATAAAGTTCCCCAGCAGGCATTGCCAGAGGTTTATACTTTTTCATTATTTCTTTCTATTTACTTATTAAGTCATCTAAATATATGTACGTGTACTTATAAGGACAAGGACCTGAAATGACGGATTTGCAATACCATATTATTAACTGGTATATGTTTTTATATGGCTTGAACCGTAGTCTAACGTTTAAGTTGGCCTATCTCGATAAATATATAGTATTTATCGGCTAGACACATATATTTGTCACATAATTCTATTGGCTATTTAGGCTATTGCCTAACTGAAGGTAAATCACGTCGTGTCGATATAATTGGTAATATACTCGATTTAGGCCATTGAATTGTTCGAGCTGGTAGACGAACATTTACGTGCTCGAGTTGCGGAGGCCTTTCAACGTCGTCCTGTTTGGACTAAAAGCGCCTTGTCACATGAACTCGACATTGATCGAGTTCACCTGAAGACGGTTATTGTGGGACTTGCGTATTGTGTTAACCAAGGACCATTTCGTCTTTGCTGGGTAAGCTCTTGTAAATTTATTTTAGAATATGTCGGTTAATTTGATTAATTTTTGATGGGCTATTTCTGTCCGAGCCAATGAGTTTTAAAGTCTGAGATACTCCTGCTTTGCATTTAGATTCCAACAGGCAAAATCCACTGCAATTATGTTATCCAGTATTAATCAGCGACACCTTTTCCGACAGAAATCGCCGAAATCCTTAATGAGGACACACGTGTCTAATTATGTCTGAATTTGTATTTTATAGGTTCGGTACGGTTTCGATCCACGTACTGATCCGTCTGCGAAGCCGTTCCAAACCTTGGATTGTAGAGTGAAAGTATCGACGAATGTTCGTTCTGAGAGAACCGTGCATTTTACCGCGGAAGCTGATCCAACCACGGCTCAAGGAGGAAGCAGTTGGGATGCACCGGCTGTTCGCGGTGGACACGTTGTCCCAGTGCAGATAGCCCCATCAGGTTATCGACATAAACGGCATCGTAAAGAGGACATTGACGCTCGTGAAGTTCGTGAACGGAATACTCGAATGCTTCGTTGTAAATATATTCCGGGCCGTCTCCCACATTCAAGACAGCTTCTCTACCACTTATGTGATATCGGACTTAACAGTGTACAGGAACTCGTACACAGGTAGGTGCGACAAGTCCTATCATGCGCGTTTAGGAGCAAATGCAAGCTATTGTTTTTCAAAACATACATATTTACTGAATTCAAAGGATGATTCTGTTCATTGATTAAAACTTCTGATATTCAATTTAAACTATCGAAGTACAGAGTATGCTATAATCTACCAATGATTAATATTTAAAGTTGAGTGCATTCGAACTAAAACTAATTAGAAGAATAATTAACTTGTTTTTGTGTGCCCCTATTTTCGTTAGGAATGACGGACAAGAAGTTTGGTCCGACCAGGATGGTTGGTGCCTTTCAGGAACAACAAGACATATTCGGTATGTTCTTTTGTGGCGCTAACTAAGTAACGTGTTACTTCAGAGAAACTATGGCATAGGAGATATACTTGTGGCATAGAAGATACTTTAAAATATTTTTTATATATAGAGCTAGCATATACTTGTCGACTGTTGGCTATAATAAACCATTATGTGTAGTGCAGTGGTGTAGCTCTGTCTAAAAAGTGTATCTCTTTTTTTTTGAATACACATAGTGTAATATACTTCTCGCTTATTTCTTCGTTATCATTGATACTGTAGAGACTATTTAGCCGCCGATATGAAGCAAACAGTGGAACGTCAACGGGCAGAGAAATCCCAAGACGAGGATGATGATGCTTTGTTCGCTCTCGAAGACTCACAGAAAGCAAGCTGTTCTCTGGAGCATGGCGAATATGGGAACGAAGGAGAAGACTTTCAAGAAGAAATGGAAGACGACGACGATATGGAAGGATTTTTCGAAACGAGCTGATTGTTGGACGTCCGAGCTATCTTATTGAAGTGGTTATTGATTTACCGCAAAAAGACTAATTGTAAAATCGGGGCGTTGATCGCCTTAGAATATTCTGAATCTATATTTGCTACAGATGATAGGGCTATTAAGAATAATATACAGACATTAAATGTGGACTGCGGTGGAGCATTGTTTTGTTGTTGTGTCACAAAATTGGTTAATTTTGCGACCGGTTAATTTAATTAGCTGTTGGGAATAAAATATGAGCTATGTGAAGCAAAAGGTGAGACGAGAACAGAACAGGATGTATAGCTGTTTGAATAGATTTTCTCCTTATGCATAAGGTAGGTGTTTATATATATATATATATATATATATATGTGAACTTATATGTAGTTTATCTATACACTAAATGCATTTCGTCAGTCTAAATTAAATTCTGGATACGATTTTTTTGCATTTGGACCAACATGGTATAAATAATAAAAATAATAATCATCATAATTGTTAGAAAAAAAGTTTAAATGACACCAAATAATTCAGTGACTGGCTGTTATAAAACCTTATGCTATTTAATGAATAGTCGGTATTTTGGATGAAGTCATGATAAAGATATTTCGCACTTTATTTCTCGCTGTAATGTGTTCATACGATTCTGTAATGCATATTGTTGTTATTGATAATTTTTGTTAAAATGCTTGCTGGCTTTAATGGCCATACAAATTGTCCTGTGATATACGCCATCTACTCACATATATACTACATTTTAATGCATGTATTGCATCGTTTTTCTCCATCTCTTTTATCATTGAAGGTGTGCAATTCTTAAATAGTGCATCGTGGGTAATTACCTCATAGCAGTACATGAATATCCTGACGCCATCCTAAAAATTTATTATTACTAGAATTTATTTAGACTGTTCAGCTTACACATTTGAGCGAAACACGCGAAAAAAACGGTGCACAGACGAGCAATTTCAAGGTGATGTATACAGTTCGTTCTGTATGACGAATCCTTTGAATCAAACTCTACTCTAAATGGTAGTCGAACTTTTTTTAGCAACGTAAGTAGTATTTGACTACGAGACAAATTGTTCGTCATTCCTATCTCCTGCTTATTTTTTGAAATCTCGTTCTCCCCTCGCTCTCTCTCTCTCTCTCTCTCTCTCTCTCTCTCTCTCGCTCTCTTTAGATACATATAATGCTAAGTCTATGTATATGGATTTAGCATTAGATTTAACCCGTTGACACGAGTAGACCAGTTTAAAGTTCATATCAGCCTCCGCTAGCTTACCAGTGAAACATACCGTTGTTTCGCCTTCCCCATGCTTTTAGCTGGCATACAAGTTGTTTCAAGCATTTTATTCAATTTCTTCGGACTAACGTAGATTCATGTCACTGACTGACCTATATGGATTAGCCATTTGTTTGACACAGTGACGCGGATGTGCGTAGCCAAAACAAGTGATCATCATTTTTCATGTTTCAAATATAGGTATTAATGTCAGTCATTTTCAGTTTCAGCCGTAGTCTTCGTTATATATGTGTGTCACGAATATATCACGGATACAATGTTCCACATCATGACCGTAGAACTGAATGCTATTTAATCATTATATTATGTAAGACGCGCCCGTATAAACGGATGATTAAAATAGCTGACGGATTGTTGATTGTTGGCGAAATGGAGCGGATTAGCTTTTGACGATGGACGGTACTATGGCGCCTCCTTCGGACTATCCCTTCGATTTTTATTCTAGCGGAAACAAAAAAGCCCCAAAAGAATCTTCATCATTAATCACTATCGGTCATTTTAAGTAGTTCACAAATTATAGCCATCACATCAGCTTAAACTGCAATTATATGGATGATGTGCTTCTTATCCGAAGAGTACTTAATCCACACTTATGTAAGCAAACACACAAGTTAGGCATCCCCTTCTCCTGCCAAATATTGACTTGCTGCACCCACAGTACGCAACAATGTGTGCATATTTAGTTAACATAGCGGCAGTTTTTAATAATTGAATGAATTAACTAACGTGAAATGCTGGATAAATAAGATAAGTATTACTGATAGAGATTGCCGCGATGAAGTTTATCGTGTGGCACTAGTTCTTCAAATAGCAATCGAACTTTCTGCTTAATAAACAGCTTCACATTATATGAATGCTACCATTGCTCCATGCTTCATGTCATCTAATTTTATCATTTTTATTTACAGAATTGACACAGCAGCCATCTTCAGTATCGACTTTATTATTGGGTCGTTGTCGACGACGATAAATCCACTATTGTTCTTATCTATACTAAATTGTGTCACGCCGTGTCGTCAGCTACATGAAGTGATCATTGCACATACAAATCATAACATTATCTTGTTATCTATTACTGCCCTTCTTGTCTGGATTCTGGCATGTAATTAGAGGATCCATTATTTTTTGACTAAAACTTAGTGGTATTATCATCAGTTGGGTAGTATAAAATGTTCCCTATGTTGGCACCGTGCACTATTAATGGTAAAATTGATAGATGGCATTGCTCGTTTCCTTTATCTTTCGATACAATTTTAATTCGCAAGTAATTTACACTTACTGTTGCTGTTGCGCTTTCACAGTTTATTTTGGTGTTAATTGTTATATTATTCTTTCATGAAATCACAAAGCATGGACGTGACGGTTCGTGAAGCAAGTTATTACTTCAGCATCTGCTACAGTGAACTATGGACGGCTATGTACATACATAGCTATTAATGAGTTCCCAGTGATATTCCCCTCCATGATCATACCTGTTATAGTTCTGATTATTATTCTACTATATATATATATATATATATATATGAATATATGGCTTCCGCTGACGAAGGATAGGAAGCCCCTCGAAGGTTACTGCGGAATGGTGAACTGTTGTTGATGAACATCATAAATAATAATTACGACTTGTTGTAGCATCATATAGTGTTTACAAATCACACTAGGTGCGATTTTTACTTAGAGTATAATGAAAACCGATCATTGATATTAAACAGATCGTACTCTGTTAAACATTTCAGGAAAATGGGTAACAAACAAGTCGACTCTCTAGTTAGAAACCATTAAAGTATGGAAGTCGCCAATAACCTATAGATTCTTAAGTGCGTTCGCCCGGCGACGGAAGCGTTGGTAAAAACTTAGAACGTTTTTTTGGAAGACATTCACTGTCATCATCAAAGTGTCATTGCAGATACTGTTGTTTAAGATATTGAATGCTTCTTTGTTTTTGCTTGGTCATAGTCACTTGAGTTATTATGTCCTTGCTCGTCTATATCGCACCTGAATAAATGCTCAGTAACAAAGATCAGCTTGTTTCTGAAGGATATTTAATGCGTTCATATACGCTTTTGTCGAAGCTTTGTAGTCTAAATATAGGCTCTCTTACTGTAAGCCGGTCATGCAGTGCAAGCGTCAAAACATGCCAAAGAGCCTATCTTCATTATCAATTCGAAGCGGTGTCAATTTCGTTATCGCGTGACGTAAATGCTATTACATGTGATGACGTACGTTATCGTGAAGATCGTTTTTAATAGTTAAATATAATAGTAATCATAATTATTAGTATATCACCGGTACATATTGCATACTATTGACAATGAAGTATCAGTCATTTCCAGTTGTTCCCCTTGTTTGTACATAAACCTTATGGTAAATGGCCTCAAATCTGGGCAGAAATAGTATATCAAAAGAATTAAATTATATATAGTGGCCAGTGTATACGTATGCATGTGTGTGGCGTCTAATGAGATGGACGTTACTGATCTCCTTTGAGCTGATGGGTCGAAAGGGACACAGGACTTTACAAGTGATATAAATGATCTAGAGTACATATATATTTTACTTGAATGGAGAATATTCAGCTATGCTGCTACTGAGTTCGTCAACGGGATTTCGTTGACTCCTATACATATATGTATAGGTATCTATGGCTGTGTGTGTATGAGTGTGCAACTAGCATTAACTGATATAAGCAAATTGGCTAATTTCATCTTGGAGTTATTTTTAAACAAAATTTTTATGAATGGACGTTAGAGATGGTACTTCAGTGCTTACTAATACTACATGTATTTTTTTTATATATTATATTCAATGTTGAATATTATGTTAGTCTGACTGACTCACTGACACACCCCCATCACACAGCCTATCGTGAACACAAAACGGTGAAGGCATAGAGCCTCATGTTATAATAATTACACCTATTATTATCATTATAGTAATTCTTTAGTCGTATTAGAATTGGGTCCTTTTCAAATAAATTAACAAGTATTAGTTATTGTAAGTAAGTATTCATAGCACGACGATGCCAATTGAATATTATTACTAAGGTCATATTGTAACACCCGTTTTATTTATTGGTAAAGGCAACTTTTCTTCCACCTTTAACACGATCAGATTTATTTTGCAATTTAATTACTTCGGAAGGCTACTTCCATTGTAATGTCGATAAGAATGAATTTTTTTTCAGCCTGTTAAGAAGTACTCACTTCTTGAACATTTGGATAAGGGACGGCTCTGAACGTAAAGGACGACGTTTACTTGGAGCTATGTGGAATTCATTATAAGTTGTAAACCTACAGCCTTGTGGGTTGAGCAGAGTCTTTTTCTGACCGTTCGATTACGTCCTTCGAGTCCTTAGCCTCCTTAGGAGAAAGCTCAGGAGCCCTTGTAACGAGTCCACTTTCACGTTCGAGCAGACTGTAATGGCAATAAACACAAAACGTTGTAACGTAATTTTACAAGTTAATCGTAATAACTAACAACAATCAGTACTTACCATAAAATTAGGATCTCATTATATTTTAAAGATACCGACCCGTAAAAATTACAGTCTAGCATTATTTACGGTACTTTATTCGGCCGAATAATAAACCAAGAAGATTTTGGTATTTTTCATAAAAGTCAAGCAAGTACATAACGCACGATGTTCGAAGTATTGTATATACGCTTGGAAAATACAAGTAAAATTGTTGGTTAGTCAACAGTCAATACAACGAAAAATAACTTGCTTATGAGTGTGAGTTTACCTATCTGTTTTTGGACTTCACAGACAGTTTTCTGTAAATACTGTAGCAATGAGAATTCAAGTATGAAAAAAGCCAATACCTTTTGAGCATACTCTTCTTCTCATCATGAAGTGCTTTCAGTTCACTCTGCAGTACATCAATCCGCTCTCCTAGGCGAGCAACCTCCATTCGGTGTTGCTCCCTGAAATAGTGTTATTTGTAGACAACGCATTATACCGAATTCAATTTTTGAAACTATTTCACAGCTTCGTGGACGGCTTCAAAGATTTTTGCTTTGTGAAGATTTAATTAGACCAATAATAACTATGAGTCCCGTTTATTTCGCGCAATAGCAGAAGGTGTGAAAGGGCAACTTAATGTAAACGAGGTATGTATGTAAGAGAATATGTATATCATCCTATATGGCTTGTAATACACATGCATCTATATTGAACGAATTTCTGCTCAACAGATACTTTTTTGCCATCTCCAAACTGAGCGGAGTGAGCTACCACTTTCTAAGAAAATTATTGCAATGATGCGGCTTATATAAACGCGCTAGCCTGGAATAGCGATCTCTCTTGCTCCGCGGCTATTTTAATGCGGTACTATCAGTGGCCACTAAAAATATGCGTCTATAAAGGTATAGATGAATTTTTTTCTTTTGTTACCGCCCAGACAACGGTTGTCTCCGACGGAAGCATAAGCATTTTTCGGTCCTCTCAAGCCGAGAAACGCCTACTTGCACAGGCGACCACGCACTTCAAATGTCTCGTGGTGAGGAGCAGTCCACACAAAAAGAACGTCTGTTTTGGACAAACTGTATAGCGGTTTTGCGACCTTGCCAAAGTCCCATACGGACCAACAGTAATAAGATATTTGCCTTAGGAAGCCCTGTAACTGACGAATAGTAGGGGGTGCCGCTAAGGCATTTACTGTTGCAATTTTTCTTTGGTAAGGGGAGATTGTACGCGGGATCTTGAGATCGACGTGTACAATTTCCTGAATAGCGACGAACTTTTCGATATTTTAAGGTGTTGACTAGCGGGCCTAAAAACAGGACCTTCTTATTTCCCGGAAATAATGCAAGTCCTCTTGGAACCTATAAGATAATACGAAGGTGTAATCGAGATAAACCAAGGCCACCTCTTAACTACTACCAGGCTGATAAGTTGTTCAAACATCGCCAGAGCTTTGGCTAACCCGAAAGGCACCCGCTTGAATTAATATAGGTTGCCTACGGTACTGAATACGGTATTTCCCTTGTCACTGGGTGCCATATAAATGTTTATAGTAACTCGTCAGGTTCGAAGTTGAAAACACCTGGGCCGCTCCTAATACCTTTAGAGCATCGTCGACCGGTAGAAATGGGAGTGTGTCTCTTTTTGGAATCGCCTTCAACTTCTAGTAAACCACATAGAAGCCAATTGAGCATTTCCTTTTTTTCACCAGGGTGATCAGATAAGTCCACGAACCAGACGGGACTCCGATGACGCCATCATCTAAGATTTGTCGTGCCTTTTCCTTTGCGAAGCGAACTCTTTGCGCTAAGGAGACTCAACCTGAGTGCTTGTGCACGAGAAGGTAATCACCGGTGAGTACGGTATGACTAACGAGGTGCATTACGAATAGTTCTTTATTGATTAGAGGTACTCCCGATATATAATTCTCGATGGACGAAAGAACGTATCGGGGACTTCCGATAAGGCGAGTGATAAACACTCCTGAGCACGGCCTAATCTGATGCCCGGTTTAAAAAAAACTGTCTATCGTCCGCGGTCGGTGCCTAAAATTTTACATGCTCCATCTGGGTCAGAAATCACTATGGTATACGGCGTCACAAAAGTACTCATTGGAGATGCATGCATCCACCTGCATCGTGGATCTCGGTAATCTGACGGCCACGACTACTCACTTTGAAAAGTTTGGAGGTATCAACTGGCCTTACTTAATGAAGGCTTGGTAAAAACGGCTCGCTACACACCTTGACTCACCATCTGGTTTATTTTTTCCAGAATTATTGCTTTAAAACTAGCGACTGAAAATAGAATCGTCGGCCAAGTTGTCTATGACTTCTAACACCTTCAACCCGTTTCCTTCGGCCTTGAGCTTTACTTTCCCCGCGATAGCTATTGCTGGTGACGGCCCGTTGGCAGCTGGAAACAAACGCCATTGCATCGGTGTGTTTTAGAAACCTGGCTGAAACGGCACTTATTTTCGTGTCGATGTCCGGCGCAGCCTGTACTTGTTCCGCGTCTTTTAATTCGACGTCGATTTCAAGCTCTAAAAACGGGGCAGCCCCTATGAATCGAACGGCGGAGGTCCGCGCTGGCATGACCAGGGGGCCAGGCTGAGCAAATGTAGCTTCCCTGATATCGGCATCGCCACTTTACGGTCCTCCAACGTATAAGGCCGAAAGGCCTGAAGCACTGAGGTTTGTAAGGGGAGTCTACTTTTTTTAATATCGGACAGGAATATTGCATACTTCCAATCGGGCTCCAGTTCGTCTTTGAAAGCCCGCCTGACCCTACTGGCCCCCTAAACATCGATGCTCAGTCCTTGTCTACTCGAAAAGCTCATCCACTGGGGTGCGTTCCTCTGGAGGAAACTGCTCGTGCAACTTCTGTTTTGAAAACATGCCAGTTGTTCGCCTATATAAATATATGGAAACTGCAAGATTATTTAGGTACATGTTTCAGTAGGATGAGGACATGCACGATTTTTGCTCGATAGTTAATAGAATGCCCTGGTCAGACATTTAGCGCAACATTACCAGTGGTAAGGAAATATTTTACGAGGACAAAAATGCTTCCATTTCGCCGTGCTAAGCCGCGTATTTGTTTATTAGCAAAACCCAGTAAATATGCCCATTTCGGGTGATTAGCATTTTCTATAATAATAATAAACGTATCTACCGGAGGGCGTGCATTCGCTCCTGGTGCTTAATCTTCTTATCCTGATAACGAACAGTGAGGGCTTCGAATTTTTGGCTAGTTTGATAGAGTTGGTCCTGTAACGATACAACCTCCTTGTGCAGCTTCTTGCAGTGCTCCATCAGACCTGCATCCTGTGCTGACAGCCAACGGTTATCTAATGTCTGCATGAATGACTGTTTCACAGGTGATTCAGGTTGAGACCTCGATCCTGCTCCGCATCCAGGGACTATAGCGTTTGTGGCCAGAAGCCCACCTGTTTCTGAAAAATTATGAGAATGTTACACCGAACAAATTGAACTCATCGACTTGTTTTTGTGAAAGTTATGTCCTCTGAAGTAGCACGTCTGCTCTGTTTTTATGCTATGTGTTTAAGAAATGCCTCATGATGCACTTAAGTTTTGCCTGACAGAATTTCATTATGGTTTCATACAAACACTGCACTGACTTAAAGAATACTTGCTTAACAATAGTAATATTTCCAAGTTCATCTTGTCAGTTTTCAATTGCTGTTTCGATAAAGATATATTTAGTTGCTGCATGTGTCACCTGTTCTCACATAAGGCAGACACAGACGCAATTTAAAGTCATAGCTTAATGCTGCTAACGGTATCATTCGGCAGCGTTCTATTATGAATGAAAACATATATGACAGGTAGTTCCTATTAGCCCATTACTTAAATCGCGCTTTCGATCGAGACTTGAGATCATTTTTTGACAAAGAAACTCGTTAAAACAGCTAGTACTCAAAAAAATTTTGAATTAAAACACATTTTGCTGAAAATTGTGCATCAAAAAGCTTCCTGATTTAGTCTCTCAGAGCATATGCAAGATCCAAATGCATTAATTACGCCCCGAAAATAAATAGCACCGAATGGTAACGATCGGGTAATTCGCGACTATATTTTGAAGCAATTGTTAATATGGGTTTAGGTGTCTTGTTGAATAAAACCTTTGTTTATTCATACTCGAATGCAGATGTGTTCTCAAAGCAATTAAACGCTTAACGTTTTAAAATATACATTTGGTAAAACCGCATCCAAGTACAGAATAATACGTAAATGAACAGACTGAAAAATAAATTCTCAGGCGTCCAAATTTGTTTCTAAGTAATGGTTTGGTTAACCGTAAAGCTTCAAGATAACACGCAGCAAGTACTAGAAATAAGTACGGCACAAGCTAGCTTCATTTATAAAGGATAAATAACACAACATCAACTCTACCGAGATACGTAAGTTCAGTATGCATGTACATGTCTTATAAAGTTAAATCACTTCGAAACAGTCAAAAGCATTTCAAAAGTTAAAAAGTTTCATAAAAATATACCAGGTTTTATGCAACAGCGAGGCAGTAATTTAATCCATCGTTACGATTAATTTGATTGTTGAACTAAACTAGATCGATTCCAATGCTGCTACGTAAATAAATGCTATTTTAGACAGTAAAGGTCAACTTCGCTAAAACGTTATGGTCTTAATGAATGAATAGTAACAACATACTTTTGTATACAATAGTGTGTTATTCTTTACAAGTAAGAGCTTATGTCTATCAAGTTTATTATGGAAGATCGTGATACCATCAAATGTATAAAAAGAACAAATAAGAGTAAATATTACCGTTTGATATATTTGATCATTCATGCTATATGATGTGTCTAAAATAATAAAATTATCTTTATGCTGTAGAATAGTAAAACATAAAAAAAAGAAAGGTTCTGCATCATTTTAAGCAGTACGATTTAGTGCAGATAGTTATTGTGAGTAAACAGATCTTGGAAATCCAACATTTGTCGCTTGAAAATAGATGTTGCATGCTAGGTTTCTCTCAAATGAATTTTCTCGGTTTTTATGATTACATGTGATGGTTAAGCTCGTTACAAAAGTAGAGATTTGGCTAAAATTGAATCAGATTTCATCGTAAAAATCCAATCAGCGATTTTTAAAAAAGTGCCGCCCGGTTACATTATGTAATAGGCAAATGCGCTAGGGATGCAACGTAAAGTGCGATACATGGGTGAGGACAATGTTATGGCTCTTAACCAAAGAGACTCATCCTGTGAATTGGCTCGAAGTATTACAGATAGTCGATGTTTCAGCTGAGGGAAAACTTTCGCCGACGTATCAACAGCTTTTCCACGTTATTTTCACTTACTTTTTTCCGTTATTATTTTCTCTTAGAATACAGTATACGTTTACGGAACGTACGGTTCACTTCAGCGACGTGCTGATTTCGTTTGCAGATGTTATTAAGCATTTTTTAGTTGGCCTGCACCAAGCCAGTTCCCTTCTAAGAACATTCAGATGGTCGCCCTTAATCGGCTTATTGATCGAAAGTTTGCAATGCATATTTAGGTGTATGGTCGATACACTTGACATCGAATCCTTATCACTACGATTTATCTTAAGATTTTCACTAAGAAGAATTTTACTTCATCAACCCGGGAGTGATTCAATTGCAGCTAACCACCTCTACGGGTTAATGTTTAAACGATTACCAACGGCAACAAAACGGTTTATCTTGTATAATTCGTACCAAATCGTACCATAATTATTCAAACCTTAGCTCTGTAACATCCTGCGTTCACTGAAGCGTAGGTCAGGTGAGCAAAAGCTAGCCTAAACACGGCTCATTGTACTCTATTCCGAATCCCATTTGATTTGACGGCTTGTCCGAGTTTGACTATCTAATCTTCCCCACAAAGCATTTTGCTTACGAGAACTGATCCCACCCTGCCCTATTCTACTGCGCTCACATTAGATAATAATGGTGTACAATAGGAACCAAATCCGGTAATGTCGTTAAGCGTCGCTTCAGACGGCTAACTTCTTCTAACACGAAACGAAGAGGAAATAAGTCTTACGTTCGACTTTGAATCTAAAATACTTTTCTAAATGTCTCTAGGTGGAGTAGGCCCACGCCTTACCACTTACGGGGACTTGAGAGTGGAACTGCATTCAACCAATTAGATCGCTTTTAACGATCGCTCCGTAAGGCAGCTTATTAAACAGCGTCCAATTCGATATTGGAGAGGCTAGACTATTAACCGCACGGTGAAAATATAAGAACTACATTTGCAGCCTTTTGGTGAGTTGAAAACTACTTCTTTTGAATCAGATATCTGTAACCTGACTGCCCATATTTAGTACTGTTGCAAAATTGCATTGTTTCAACAAAACACTTCATGGACAGAGCGTCAATAAGGCAAAATGTATCCATGCTATCATCAGCGATGCTCTGTGATCGCCCACCATCCCATAAGGCGTTACAGAGCGGTAAATAGTCGTGCGTTGAATTGGGATATACCATAGGAAGCTGTTTGTTTAAGTAGGTTTCATCCTGTCACAATCAGCCAAATGCTTTTCGCGTGGAATATATTTAGTTCACAGCAACTTACTGCAATATAAGGGTACGCCCACATGACCGCCTGCAGTCTTCGACAATGAACTGCGAGCACAATTCAAAGCGGAACTGGTACAATAATATTAGAATGTGGCAAGATTGTTTTTCGCCCCGTAAGAAGCATAACAAATGACATTCAAGTAGCATTTTCCTCGTAGACAGAAGGTAATAAACAAATAAATAGGAAATGCACTTCGCGTTCAGAGAAGAATTATTGTAAATCGGTAAGTAAGCAACGTTTCTAGTCGAAGACGAATTGTTGCTAGCGGTTGATGCTGGCCTGAGATGTAAGTCGTCCACCTGTGCTTCGAGGATGAAATGGCGCGGGTTGACCTGGTCGATTTGTACGTCGTGAGGGCAGCTTTTCCATGCAGGGGGTATCCACTCGGGATTATGAACAGTCAAGCAGATCTATTTCGAGCATAGTCCAACGAGTACGTGCAACTAGTACAACACGCAGTTATTGCAGTTTCAAACAAGCAGCATTGTTGTTCGTACAATCAGGATTTACGTTGTAAGCCCGAGTGCTGTCACACTTATTATAACAACATGAATAGACGATAAAACCATCGACAACAGATAGGTAGCTTCATAAAATCGCACGTGTTCGCATAGAATCGGCCTATCTACGTGCAAGAACACCTCTGCGGTAAAGCTATTCTTCAATTCCGCGCCGTGTGCAGTTCGTCGATTAGTTAGTCTATCAGGTTGTGTCCATAATTTTTCCGCAGAAGCTATACGTGCGCCGCCACAAAATAGAGAAAAATCATTCATAGAAAATGCTATCTAAACCTAAAAGGGGGTTTTAGCATTAATGCCTGTCTAGATAAATGCTCTGCCATATATGGTGGTGCTCTTTAGAGACCACTGAATTTACACCTTTCGAGACAATCGTATCGTGATATGATGACAACGTCCCCCCTGTCACTCCCTTCTGATGTAAACTATAAAAACCTATGATATAATGTTGCAAGCAATCCTGAAGCACAACTTAAGATATGCAATGCGAACGTGCACGACAGGCGTAGTCCACAACTAATTATCTATTTTCTGCTCGCATTACAATCCAGCTGCTTTTGTTGATTTTGTGCTGCCAACAATAAGGGTGGTACATTTTAGAGATGCGAATGAGTTCACGATTGCTAATACACAAACAGCCACGGTGGAGCATTCGAGGTAGCAAGTACAAAGTAACTCAGTGACTCAGTCTATCATATATACCAGATATGTTTTAGCTTGTCGAGGCTGCTTCCGGCTCTTGACAGGTTTAGGACATTGGCACGGGGCCCTGAGGTCCTCGGCTGCGTAGTTTTGTATCCTTCACATGTCTTTTTCCGGCTAGCATTAATAGCATCTTTTGTTTTATGGGAAACACGTTTGCTTTCTTGTCAGTTTGCGACAACTTGAAGATAACTAGCTTATTATTAGCACAGCCTACTTGGATAAGCGAAAAAGTGTACCGCCTCACCTGTGATTTCATATCCTCAGTACAGGGATAATTGTTATAGGTTAACAGATCAATCACCATATCCATTAAGCTTGTTCCCCATTTCTGAGTCATTACGATGCTGTCTCGTCCTGTACAGAAAGCCGTTGTGTTTTCCTATTTGTCTACAACACTCGAATGAACAATTCGGATATATTTAAGGTCGTGTTACTCACTGTCATTGGCCTGAGGTGTTTGTTGTTGTTGTAATTGTGAATGCTGTTCTTTGCTGCGTAGCCGCTGCTCGAGCTCATCGCATTGGACTAATGCTTCTGAAAGCTATCAGACGAAACCCGCACATTTACTATTAAAATAGTGTATTCCTAAAAGATAATAACTTACATTATTGTACAAAATGAAGCCTTGAGTTAGATATTGGAAAGGGTTTGCCGTAAGAGGCTACAACCTTGAAGGCCAAAGTTTCGTTGTCGAGTTCAAGCTGTCGGTTAGTTTTTTCCATGGCCACAAGTCGATCTGCTAAGTTGTCGATGCGGCTTTGGAGATGATTATTGGCGTTCGTTTCATCCGTGTCCGTCGGATCGCATGGTACATGGCAGGAACCCTGTTCTCCCATTGGTGAGCCGATGCCTTCCTGCAAAAGATTTTTAATCCACTGTTTGTCTGCGATTATTGGCTTGATGTTTCCCGGGTCACGAATCTGTAAGTTTAACAGTAGCCGTTATCAAACGAGTTTTGCTGATATTCTACAAATAGCTTGAATAATGTTCGAGTAGTCACGGTATGCAGCTTTACAATGGACGGAAGAGGGTCGGTAAAATTAAATTGACGCATTGGCTAAAATATAGTACTACTAGATTACTAGTATTTCGGCAATTACTGCCTCTTGATATTAGCGAAACGATGAACGAAAGCCTGTCTCATCTTACTTCACAAAAGGGTAAAAATCGACACCCTCTTTCCGTTCCCCATACAGAGATCAGGAAGTCCCCGTCCTTCTACGAAGGGAATACCTTGCATATAAATGTATACGGGATGTTTGACTTACGTTACGCTTGACAGCGTCTTCCTCGACATTGCCACCTTGTTGGATCCTTTTAGCGTTGTCGATGCGTGAATGTCGCGAGCTCCTAGGTGGCGGTGTGTGCAGGGGACTTCGGATGCGCGCATAGTCGCCTTCATTGCTGCTGTCGCTATCACTGCTACTGCTTCGACTATTGATTTAATGAAAATAAATAATAAAGGAGAGTGCATGTATCTACCAGTTGCAAAGTATCCAGTTTACGTTTTTTTTACATTTATCGTGCATGTTTTTCAGGTGTCATAGCTACATGTGAACAAATGGGTTTGACAGATTATTATTACTCAGCTGATAATGACTATGCTAGGCAAGGTAATATGGTGGTGATATAATCTGGCAATGATAATAGCAATAAAAATGTGTCAAATGTAGATTAGATATATGTATATATATATATATATATATAATTAGTAAAAAAAAAATATATATATATATATAATAGAAAGGGAAAAATTGTAACTATCATGTAATTTTATTCAAAGCTATTTTTCACTACAAGAGCCAATGGCTGTTGTTATTTATGGATTATACTTTGTTTTATGTAGATCAAGGTTCCACAACTATTATACTATATTACATTATATAAATTAGATGACTAAACAATGTAACAATATCAGCCACAAAGAACAGCACTCGACAAGTCTGTTCGTACATAAAGAAGCACAGGTATGCCGGCCATGTCTCCTGATGCAATAGGGTGAATAAATAACAGCCAATGGGAGCAATAACGTGTTATATGATCCCTCAGCGCGCTTTATAAATCTGCTTTTGACGGGTTTTAGCAAAGAGGGACTGGAATAAGCTCAAACACCGTGGGTCGAGGTGTTTCGTGCTGAAGACCGACCGTCTGACGCAACGCTTCACGACAGTACCGAAAATATGAACGTTAACTATGAAACATTTATTGAGGACGAACAATAATGAAACGTTTGGATTTTTGTTAGTTCACAATACCTGCCACCAAGATTATGGAGAACAGTGTGAATTCAATAATGCATTTTACTTGTCCCGCGCGGCTCCCACTTTCATTCCACAGCGCTGTGAAGTAAGCGCCCAACCTCTAGTACACATGTATATGACCGGACGCTAGCTTCCATCCAGCTAGAATTCTAAAGGCATAATTAAGCCCTTTTTGCATCGAAAAGTATACCAACTTACATTATTTCTTGTGTCCTCCTGCTTCCCAACACTCCAGATTGTCCATTCTGTCTCATCGCTCTTGATATCATTCTATGTCTTGAGGAAGTTCCCCAACCATTTATATGGATGCCGTCGACTGACTCGCGACTGTTATCATCGTCGTCTTCTTCGTCATTGTTGTAAATTTTAGCCAAAAAAAGGAATGGCTGGGGCTGCCGGGAATGCAGTGAGGACTGTTTTACATCTCGTTTGAAAACGATGTAAAATAACACGAAAAACGGAATGAAAAGGTAGAAGGAAGCAGGAAATGAAGTCGCTAACGTCAGGAGTTCTTCACCACCGTATATTACGTTGGGCAGCGAAGAACAGCTCGGTTCGCTGCGAGGCGGGTTCGAGGAGCGACCACTTAGGAACAAAATGGCAAAGATCGGGCAACACGCGTAAATGTGTTTCATTTATAATGACTACTCGTTATGCTAATCTAGCAGTCGGCCATGATTGCGGCCGGTGATGGCGCCGCTATGAGAGCGTCATTCGGCGCTGAGTAGCCCATATCACCACCATTATATACCAACAATATTGCAATTTTGAAGGCAGACAAGCTCTAAGGTACTTGGTAGATATCAACGTCACTCTACCCACCGTTCTCTGCATTGTTGTCGTCAACAATCCACTGTTTACCATTTGCATTTATTTTATGACATTATTTACCACTCAACAGAGCCTTTTACCAACCAGCGTGCAGCGGCTCAGGGGACAGCTAACTTCCTGACTCTATGATATGTACGCGGAGAGGTGTTCCGCCAGGCTTTTCAGTCCCGTCGGTGGAGAGGATTCTCGTTCCGCAGCGAGTGGTGGCGGTACCTGTCGCTGTTAAAGGAATAAATTTTCAACCTTCTCCAAGGTACCACTTCTTCCTGGATATGCTACCTGAGCAGCAGTAAGTACACGGCCGGTCGACCGTGTTGTGGGACAACTCGCGGGATGGCCGCGGCATATTGGACGAACTATCAATAACTGGTCGTAGATAACTAAGTACAACGGAAGAACGCCACACACAGTTGAAGTCCTGGTACTGAAGTTGAAGCGGCATGAGATAGAAGACGCTGTCTATGGAGGCCTCCAGTGAGGGAACCTCGTAAGCATGTAAAAGCTTTAAAGCTGTAACAGTGACAGTCATCATTGAAAAAGAGCGAGAAAGAGCGGAAGCGATGGTTGCTAGTTCTATAAAATGCTGTGCCGCTCTGACAGAAAAGGGTGCAGCTCCATCCGCAGCTACCTAGAGCTGCTAAAGTGAAAAAGGTAAGTCGAACGCTAAACAGCTTTTTTTCGTTAAAATAACACACTCTAAATATCGGGTCTGAACAGCAAAAAACTGGGTGAAGCATGTATACAGCTGTTGCGTAGACAGCGCCATTAAAAAACCATTAGCTTCTATATATTTATGTACGTGATCATTCGAAAGAGGAGATGATTGACCTATTTTATCTTTGAAATCTCGTTTGAAATTAGAAGAAAGACTTTGAGATAGAATTAAAATGCTGGAGAAATAGATTTTCGTACGAAAATAGCATGAAAGTAAGACATGAGTGGGCTCTTTTCAAGGAACATATATTATGATCGATATCCGATGTCAAGGTTTGGTCAGTATGGATCAAATGTAGGGTAAATCGGTGCATTGTAACTTCATATAGGAGTTAAATATATCAGTATCGGGAAGAATTGTAAACCATTATAAGTTATATAATGAAAAATTAAGCTTTCAATGCAAACGCTCCTTAATTCAGGCGGAGTATTTCTCTACAAGGGTAGCCAGCGAGACGAAAGCCAAGAATTCCTACAAAGGTTCGACGTTAACGTATTCTAAACACTGAGCATATCTAATCTAATAGTAATATGGTTAACATCGTTTTTCTATAAACGTACGTACAGGCTATCATGGTCGGAGATGTTTCCGTCAACGGTGCTGCTGCTGATGTGTGAAGCGGATAGCTTCATGCTCTGTGGGAGATTGTTATACAGCTTTCGATTTTCCTCGAGACGTAATTCACGCTCACGCTGCCTTTCTAACTGGTCTTTTAGCCGATCGCGCTCAGCCAAGATGAATGCGATCTAATGAAATTTGAGGCAAATGCAAAAAGGATAATATATAATATATGTGGATGTTATTTCATCACGCATCTCATGAGCTATAAAAAAAAAAAAAAAAAAAAAAAAAAGTGACATTGACGTCTAGAATTTATGAATTTATGAATTGATTATAGAGAATAGTGCTTGACGTAAACAAATATTTGATACACTCTTTAATATAGGTAAATGTTTATCTTCGATTCTTGTATAAACTAAGACTTGCAAGTTTTTTCCTATGACAAAGTTTTAAAGGGACGCATCCGACTGTGATATGCAAGTCGGTTTGTCCAAAGATTGTTAATATGCGCAAATCCATCAAAATGTATTTCGCTTACATTTTATATGGAGCTCAATGAGTTGCAGTCCAATGAAAGTTCAAGTCATGCAACGCCCACATATAACGCGAACTAAGAAGTTTTCATTACCGACTTCCCCGTCGGTACCTCAATAGCTGATAGACTCTGTTTAAATTAGCTCTGGCGGTGATTCGTTCATTCACTTACACATACATATAATTGGTCGTGTGACAACGTTATTTATCAATGCTCATGTAGAAAATGATGTTGCCCGGACGAGCACATAGGATTTTTTACTCAATTGAAGCTCTTATAAATTTTCATTTTCAGTAAACTACGACAAACAGATTAAACCGCCAGTATATCCCAGTGTGTTTTCGGCTCAGACGTCTTCTTACTCGTCTTATTCAGTACTTTACTTCCCTATATGAATACTAGTATTTTATTTGCTTATTGGTCATATGTAGGCCGCCGCAAAGCGCGAAATGATATTCGAATCGCAAAGTACTTGTTGTTGAACACCCTGTTCCACCCAGATGCAATCGTAGAAATTTTCTGCTCGAACCTGCTCCACGAGTGTCATCTGATCATTGAGTGTAGCTGTGTTGTTGAGAATGGCATTCGGGCTATTGTCATGGTGATGAAGAGCTTGGCCTGTTGTAGCACCGATGGCCCCCATATCATTAGCCGAGGCCGATCCATTGTGACAGCTCGAATTGGTATTAGTCGTTCCGGTAATTGCTGTCGAAGCAGTGCTCGTCGGAGTACCGCCGAGTCCGCAATGCTGCTGCAGCAGCCGCCTGATGTGCGTCACCTGTCCTTCGCTCGTGCCTCCGCGTTGCTCCAACTCTCGTCGGAGGGCGCGATTGTCGAATTGCACGCGTGAAACCTTTTCCTCGAACAGCGACTGGATGTGTTCGATGTAAGATTCCACTTCCTGGTGAGAAAAGGCCAAACGCGAACCTAGCCATTAGAATTGTATTTGTCTAAGAATTAATTGATCCGTCTATAATGTGTTCTCGGATTAGCCTAATATAAGTCCTTCGATAACCATCAGATCGAAGCTCCGTTTACGATTTGTAGGAAGGGTGCTTAACATGTGCACGCAGTATCCCGTAGTTGCAGTGATGTTTTGTTGAAATGTGAACACGAAATTTTCGCTCATAGAAAAATAACTGGATTTAATTTATGAGGAGGCCCTTTTTGTAGCTACTATTGGATATAGTGGTTTGTCAAGAACTTATATATATATATATATATATTCTATATGCGATCAAATAGTATTTATGATTTTATTATTTATAATTGACCTTCATCTCGGCGCTCTGTTGCTTGTGCAGTTTGTCCAGCTGATTTCGTAACGAGCTGACATTAGTTTCGGAGTCCACAAGCCATCGCCACACAGTGACGAGCTTCTTGGCGTCGGTTAATTCGTCAGAACGGAGACCTTCGGCTTCGAAACGGATTCGTAGCTCTTCCTGCTCGTCGTCCCCACCCTGCAAGGCATCATAATAATAAATATACACATTAACTATACTTTTACAATACTTATTATTACTATACAACAATATACGACATTAATCTATTTTAGACAAACCGCTAGGGTTCATCATTTACTATTTACAATCAATCAACTGATACAACGTTGATGGCTTCTGAGGACTGAGTGGCTAGATACTGGAATAATATTCACGAGGGTCGACGCCTAGTGAGGATGCACGATTATACCCAAAGAACAGCTCGAAATTTTCGTAACTGTTTAGATTAGCCTTTGGATATATATATACGGCATAGTTCAAATGACGATAACAATTTTTGATGTATTATACCGAAACGCTTGCAATAACGCTTCAATTTTTCCCTAGAGCACTATCAGATAAAGACACTTCAAGTGCCGCCATTTTTGAATTGATATTCGGTTTCCACTGCGCTAATTCATAACAACTTTTTTTTTTTTTTTTGTTGTATGATGCCGATAACATCCATTGTATGAGCAAATCAGCAATTGATTTACTTTATATCGCAACTTTGTGTAATGCATCGATACCTCAGATATGCTTCCGTGTCAATCAGGACGTTCATTGTTCAGGTACGTACCACACTTACGTAATGAATAGCTTGCTTGATATAGCGGATATATTTATTTGATGCAGGACGCACCTGATAGTCATAAATTACTGGAACTTGATATCTATAATGAGGAGCGCACATAGTTCACATTCACTATCTCACACCTTAAATAGCGTGACCGTCTATTTATCTCAACAATATCCAACTTACAAGGTCTCGATAGACGGCGCATCGGAGAACAACATAAGTTCGGAGGAAATGGGCATATTGTGCTGTTTCGTCAGTCTTTCGACAAAAGGCCAGGCCAAGCCCCGAGTACAGACGAAGCAGCCACAGTGCGTACATTAGATTCGCCTTGTTTGGAAAACGCACGCAGAGATTGTTCAGACGTCTCTAATAGAGTCCGTTAGCTACAGAAGTAGCAGCTCCTGACGATAGCAAAAACCGTACTCACAAAAAGTATTATAACATTGAAATTGCTGCTGCGCTTAATGTCGCTATCTTCTGACGCTTCAGACTGGTGGGACTCCGTAGATTGTCCTATTAGAAAATTCAGGTAGGAACGGTGACACAAGCGGGTATTCCTGCTATTGTTTAGCAGAAAATGCTGACATCACACAGCCAGTAGCATTCGGATGTTTGTGAAGCGCTCTATAATGATGACCTCAGGAAGTGATTTCATATTCCTTTATTGTTTCATCGATTACAAGCGGAGGATATCGTCGTATTTGGCTTGAGAGGCTGCACTTGTCAGTTTAGCGTTGCGCGTACGTCGGCGTTCAGTTAGATACTGAACGTGTATGGCGCGCAAACGAACGCCTGAACGACCGATCGTGTTCTGCAAATCTTAGTCAAGTTTTTTTCTTTGACGGGAGATTGCCCTCCAAAACAGCGGTCGATCATACTCTAGTGACCTTAGAGACAGTCGTAAATTTTTGGAGGATCTATCCAGTCGCAGAAGTTAAGATTGATTTCGTCGACTGAATTGCAAACCAGTTCGTGGAAACACATATTATCGACCACCAAATTTGCCTCGCCCAACGGTAAGATAACCAACGGGGAGTATGATAATAAAGAAGACAGCATGTTTAGTTACGTTCGAATAGATAGACAAGCTTTGGGGCTAGTTGATTGCTAACTGGCTCAAGAGGGGAAAATTATATTCAGCAATGACCCCTCGTCATGGGCTTTTGCCAGAGGGCACATCCTCTACACTATTTGTCACATTGATACACAGATCATTGGCCGAGTTCTCCTGAGGCATGATTCGGTCTCAAGCACCATGGTCATATAAAACTCCTAAGCTCCCTGTTCAAAAAACTGTGTTGATATCAATTAATTTGAGAACGGGTATAACACCTAATATCACATCTAAAATTCACGTAACATATTTAGAAATATTTCCCATTCAACTGATCGATACCAAAATACGAAACGGGCGAAGAAAATTTTGCGAGTTAGCTTTCTGGGTCGAAGGAAACGTCGACATTACAACCAGTGATGTGCTCTCCATTGGGTAAGTACACTGCCGGTGTTAGGCCCGTTGCCTTCGTAAAGTGGGACACTCGTTTTGAAACCACTCTTTGCGCCAACTGCGTTCTTTGTCTTGTCCTAGAAAAAGTTGAAAAATTATTCAAACATAAGCATAAGCTGGTATGCGAAACAGGATCTGCAGGCTACGTCCTGTGACCTCTTCTCTAGAGTAGTAGTGGTAGTAGTAAGAGGCGCTTGCCACATAGGTGTCGTTCAAGCTTAGAGATACTTCAACGATTTACATGGGTAACGTACACACCAAGCCGTCAGAGAGTTCAGACCAACAGACTGCCTCTATAACACTATAAACTTTTGTATGAACAGCAGCGGCAGCAGCCGCAAGCAAGCGGGAGGACAGGAGTCCCGGCAGAGTCCAAAGGAGTCTGCTACCTCAGAGAATGGGAGGAGTCACTAGGTTGGGGGCACTTGCTTTTTAGCCCTGACTCAGTCACGACATCTAAGCGTTCTGCACATTTCATCCACGTCGCTGCTGAATCCAGCATCCCCTTACCGAGTATATGCTAATACATGTACACAAAGTGAGATGGACATATAGACAGACAGACAGGCATCTTGAGTAAGGCAGATAGTAAACGCTATTATGTGATGTCTAGATATGCTCTGTGTATAAGCTTTAAGTTTTATAAAACACTTTTTCTTGTTGTAACGTGTAGGCCTTAGTTGCAATTCTGCCATTCTGTACTAGACCTGTAGATCGAGATTACGTTTTACACAAGCACACAAAGCATGAAAATTGTCAGCAACATAAAAGTCACTTAGGAAGATGCGCTTTTTTTTATTGGCACACTTTTTTATATGTTGGACAATATTTTACGAGGCTCGTCACTCTATGAGAGATAATCAAGCGGTTTATTTTAAAGAGCACTGTAATTAAACAATACTAATCGAGAAGGCTAAGTTAAGAAAAAAAGCTTTGTACGCTGTGCGGTATTTTCGCTTGGATTTTGGAACTTTTAGTATAGATTGTTGATGTCATAACAAACTACACCTTAAATACCGCTTCCGAGTGGCCTTAGGTGGAAGCTGTCGGTAAAGGTTTTCAGTTCACCGATCAGCCGTTATTTATTCTCCCTAATAACGATCTGACGTACGTATATAAAAAGCACATGACCATAATGAAACACTTGCGAATACATGAATGACAGGACATAAACTAGAACGAAGTACTACTACCTGGAAGAAAGATGCAAGCATATAAGGTATAAGACTTGACTAGACCTGAGCGTAGTGTTTGCGCATTCTCGTAGCCGCTGCCGCCATTACCACAGCATTGCACTGAACGGAGCCAGTGAAATGAGTGAGGTGTTTTCCCCACTCCCATAAGTACTGTCACAACAATAGGACCCTCTCATTTAGATGGCACACTAGTCGAAAAGTAAAATAGGACTTTCACTCCCGTATCTTATCCCTATCTGTTTATAATTGTTTCTTCCATGTTTGTGGAGGACGCTAATGGCAGTTGTCAAATATTCCGATAATTAATCTCTTAACTATACCATAGCAACGCTGGATAACTGCTAAGCACCAAATCGAAAGAGCGTGCGATGTTATTTGTGAATTTTTTGTTTGAAAAGCTCTTGCTGTCAGCGGTCCCTATGAAAGCGCAATGGGTAACGTATTTTCCTACTAAACTTAACGGTTCGAATCTGAGCCTACGCACAGTTTGTTTGAGATGGCTGGCTCCCACGAAAACTTAAGTACCAAACGTGAATCAAAGAAAAAATATTTAATGTTCTAACTATTATTCACATGAATTTCAGTATTTTCAAGTCTGTCGTAAATCCTAATGTGGTACAAGTGGAGGCCGCCTTGCGCCAGACGTATTCAGCAGTTAATCGAACCTCATATCTATTTAGTAGGTTAGGATGAATGTGTAATACTTCACTAGACGTACGAGCGGATGTTGGGGTTTCTGTTGCGGATGTCCAGGACTTCGCTGTCTGCGACGGGAGCGTGTTCGTCGGGGCTCTTCTGTCGACGAACCTGAATTATTTTGTGGTGAGCCATTGTTTCCTAGCGAGTGGATTTGGTGACCTTGATGATGATGGTGCTGTTGATGCTTGTTGTTATAACCATTATGGTTGTAGCTATAGCCGTGGGTACCGGTTTTCGGTGGTACCAGTACCGCCCTGGGCAGAATGGGTTTTAAAGAGAAGATTGATTGTGTCCCCCATTCTGCAGGTTGGGTGTGACTTGCAGTGGGGCGACAAAACACCCACGAGCTGTCTTCAAGAGCCGCCAGATTTGCCAAGCGAAAGTGGTCAGATAATTCGTTTTCCAGACCCCCGCGGCGGCCGGGAATAACCAATCGTAGTAATGAGGTCAGGGGTTTCACTCTACAGATTAGATCAACATCTTGAGCAGGGGTACAGCCGTCACATTCTACTCGCGGTCCTTTAGAGAGCACCAAAGGCCGGCGTACAAGCAGAAAGACATGAACAGCGTACGATTATGTCGACAACTTTCATTGGAACACAAGATAGATAACCATGCGTGAGTGCCTATGTAAGATTAGAATCTGAGTAACTGCATGTTCGACTAATGTCAAAGTATTACGCAATAGAACGTATTCATTGTTTGTTTCATCATTTTAATATTGTGAGTAGAATATGACGCAGTGCAATTGTTTTTGCGGCAGAAAGAACTCAATGGATCAACATAAGATATAATAAATGCTGATATCAGTACGATCGATCTGTTGAATATTTACTAATTTGAGCTGGGTGGCTCATATATATATATATTAGTATTATTTACTACAACAAGATATTCATGTGCCAACATGTTCCATATCGGTAAATAAACCTGTTTAGGAAATCTGCTATAAAGCAAATTTTTTTGAGGCATTTACTTGTCCAATATTTTTGACCTGTCTTTTTTTTTCAAATAACAGAGATAACTATGTGGAAATAACGTTTACAATTGAAGTGCAAATTACGGCTTGTTTTGTAATTACAATGCAAATGGCGCTGAAGCTCTTACAGTACCTAATTGCATTTGCGTTGCGGGCTAAGATGTGAGAAGCTCCAGAAATTTCAAGATGTCAACCTTTTTTAATTTTTGAAAAAACTTAGAGAGACTAACCGATACTTTAATGCATACTGCTACGTTGATATGCCTGGTAAGAAATAATGGATTGATAAGCAGTATTTTTCTCAAATGTAGCTTGTCTTTTACAAGGTAAAAACCTATTTCGACTGTCGAGAAGTTATATTTCTATGCGTCAAAGGATACAGAATGCCCAACTAACGTATTTAAAAAAAAAAAAAATCTTTTCATTGTCGCTTGAAAACTACTACGCCTGAACTTCATTCATCCGATATCAAGTGTTTTTTAATATCGATTACAGAAACAAGTCGATGATATTATTATCACTCGCTTTTATATTTAGATCTCTTGCCTCATATCTGAATGTCGTCAATGTGGTCTTAACATTGATGGGCTACCGTAATCGTTACCATGAAAATTTTAGGCAACCTCGCGTATGCGTCTAAGGCTACGGGGCCTAAAATATCTCTCTTGCGCTTCCACTAAACGTCCTGGCAAATGGCAAACTACAGTGTGAAGTATTAAGCCATTGAACACACGGTTCAAGGCGTAATTACGTAAAATCAACATCTTTTGTATTTTCAACTTTACCACAAAGAACTATTAATTGATTTCGTGTTTTGCTCGCGCTGGCGAAGAATATCAGTATAGATGTTTAGGTTCTGGGATGCAGATGAACTGATTTGGTCTTCGTTAAATAGGAAGGGCAAACGATCTGCTGAACCCTAAGGGCCCCCGAGAGCCGGCTTCAACCGCTAACCCCTGCGAGATATTCTCTCCACAGTTTAATGAAGACAAACTGCTGACCGAACACGTTATAGTGAGCAGACTGTGGGTCATGTGAACGGCCGACGCTACAGTTGGATAGCGCCTTTATTGGAAGCGGGGTTGCATAGCGTTTCATTCACCCGGCGAAACAAAATCGGATAACTGCGAGGATACCCTCTGCATTTGTGACTTCTGTAATGGCTTCTAATTGGACTTCTATTGGCTTCTAATGGGACTCGCTCCGATCGGATGTTGGCTTGAATTTTATATTTTCACTTTATACTGAAGACCGATACAATGGACCGTTTCAAAATTAAGCAGTAGCAGTAGGCTTTGTGTCAAGCTGCATTATATTATTATTATTTTTTTTTTATTATTGGTCAGCTCACTTTACTACTATTACTCGGGTAGTCGCAATATTAAATATTTGACAAGTTACGTTATTATAGTTTTGTTGTATGAGCGATACACGATCCAATATCGTTTCAATGCCATTACGAATCATTCGATAAGTAAAACGGATCTATTGTTTTTCCACCCGAAATCGTCCTCTCGTTGATTGTTTTGATTGTCGAATAATCCGCTCCAAATACTCAAATTTGAAAACTATTGATTTTTTCTTCTGTATAAAGAAGAGGCTTCCACTAATGGGTGCAAAATATGTATTGAAAATATTCAAGATCTTATACTAGCGGCTTGCCGAGAGCTGACTTTTTCGTAGAGACTATAGGGTTAATGGGTTCGAAAAAAGAGTTCCAAACAACCAAATACAGTTCGGTGCCACGTGTCGATATAATACAATACATTAAGAACAATTGATCGAAGTCGTAGGATAAAAACGCGACAGCGTAGCAGACGACAACGACAGCGACAGCGACAGCGACGACAACAACAACAACAACAACAAAGACGGCGCTGGTGCTAGTTTGTACACCGCAGGAGGCCGGTCGTTTCTGTGCGGTAGCCGCACTGTTACTGCTGGGACGGCTTAGGTTGTTGTTGTTGTTGTTGCCATTGGCTGTTGTTCAGGTTATTAATTAGCACTGCCAGCTCCTGCATCCATCTGATGAGGAACTCATTTAGCATTAGCCGTTGTCGTATACCGATACGCATCACTAGTGACAGCAGCTGTACAATGGCTCTAGGCTCGTTGGCTAATCAAAACGAGAAAGTCAAAACAACTGCTGATCAATTTCCGCTTGTGTGGCAATGACGATGATATTGTATCGAAGCATGACAATGTAGACTGTGATAAATAAGGCATTTTGTTAAAGTTATTGAAAAGTAGTCTAGCAGAACAAGCAGACGTTGCCTTAGACATATAGCAATAAAGCAACATCGATAGTAGTAACAACGACCGAGTGGGCAAGCAAATATCACAAGTTTTGCCACTCGTTGATATTGGCAAATTGAAAGGAAAACACACGGAGTTGCCACACATAAGTAGATATATATACATGAATAGGTGCACCACCAATTACAGATGACGAGCCGAGTGTAAATAGGAAGTGTAATTGCTGAGCTTATATCCATGTCCCGTAAAATCCTGACAACAACAACAACGCTTAGCTGATTTTCGAAAAGATCCAAACACAGTTTTACTTAGGCATATACACATTATTTAGTTGGGTACGCAGCTGTTATTAGCCAGCTTGCGACATACATTGTATATAATTGTGTCTAAAGGTAGTGAATGAATATCTCTTAAAGTGCCAGTGCATGTTTAGAAGGTACGTACGTCAAAACCTGTATAGAGAATATTGAGGATGGAATATAGATTAGAATACGTGAAAATTTAAGTCTGTTTAAATAGTCCTCCGATTTAAATTAAAGCAGAATCGCCCATAAAAGCTAGCATGAAGCTTTTCTATTGTATGCGAAAAAGTAGTTCATCCACCTAACGAACTTCTATAAACTTGTCAACACAACAGTGGCTATTATGACCTAACTTTTTGTCTTTTTAGTCTGCTAGTATCTGAAAACGTACTATTTCACCTAAATACCAAGAAGGCTCTTCTATGCGTCAACGTCATCTATCTCATTTCTCTTCCATACATTTCTAATCTCTAATAAGATTTATGCTTTTGTATAGGCTAAGCATCAACTTTGCACAGTTATCACGACGCCACAAAGAAGCAACGGCGTTCACAGGCGCAATGCATTTGCAATTCATGTTGTCTCTGCGCGTTTGATAGAAACGCAACAATGAGCAGCACACGATGCATCCAATATCTGCATAATGACTCCTCTAAAATTCAATAGGTTTGCTTTTTGTTCAGCATTAATGTCTATAGAATAATTCTACTTTTCTCACACAGAACCATTCTTCTTCGAAAAACAAGCCCTGCGGTTTGATTCATGGTGGACAAAAAGTTCCTTTACAGAATTTCCCAATAATTTTCGTGGGACCTGTCGACAAATTGGGAATCATGCAGCCAAACGGAAGCTCCCAAAAATACTCAGGACCCATTGAAAGGATCTAACATCGCTCTTAGCCAGTGATCAATAATGCAGTCAAAAGTTCTCTCAAATAGAGAAGGAATATCGATTATATCAGCAAACAAACCATTATGCTTCGAAATTGTTCGATCGGCGACTTGTGTATCTGTTGCAGTTTGCAGATCGGAAGACAGATGAAGAACATGGAAAAACTCTCCACGGTGCAATTTTAGCCGATCCAAATTATTTCAAGAAATGGCGACATGTTGTGAGAAATTGGTTTGCCCACACACCGAAGAAGAACTCAAGTCATAGCCCCCGAGAGAAGCCCGCATTCGTCTTGCAATAACCCCAGCGACAATTGACTAGGCCCTTCTGTTGTTTTTCCGCACCGACCCGCAATTTGAATTGTTCTATCAAGCGCCGATGTTACATAGAGAGTAACACACGAAGATTTCAGATGTCTGTCGATTTTATCATATATCTCGTATGTTGTCCGAAATTATATGAACACTTCATACATTAATTAGGTACTTTTCTGAGAGCGAAGTTTTCCCTATGAGAACCTCCCTGGTTATTGTTATTGCTATCGGAAAATACTCTAATACGTGAGTTTTTATTCATTACATTACGCAACTTACGACACGGATTTCGGGTGTCACGTCAGTAGTACGTGCAAGGCGCATATACCTTTGTAGAGCTCCTACAGAATAATATTCTTTCATCGCATCTGTATCATTATCGACGCACAACAGATAAACACTGAACCCATTCGCAAATTTTATACGAAATTTTTATCCGTGGGCGTTTCTTAACAAACTTTTCGCCTTACGTCATTTTTCAGTCCCGCCGCCACTGGACAAATTGTATTCTGCACTTATCATAAATGCTTCTATTCAAATGAGCTTCAAAATCCAGTTCTTTTTCACGCGTTCAACGATAGCAACATCTTGTACTTTTCTAATGTTATCATATGCAAAATTTCTCAGCAGTGCTAGCCAAAAAATCGAACAGGCCGTCTGCTGCGGTCCTGATGCAAGTCACGCGCATTAGCAAATTCACACACGTATACAGAATCCGTATTATTACTCAAGCATATTATCAATTCGTATTCATTTCACAGCCAAACTAGACAAAACCACACCGAGTGTCACAACTCGATATTCATAGCAAAAAGAACTCTTGTCATCTC